CTGTCCTAGGTGTTGAGAGACTCTTGTCACACACTGTCCTAGGTGTTGTGTATGTTGAGAGACTCTTGTCACACACTGTCCTAGGTGTTGAGAGACTCTTGTCACACACTGTCCAAGGTGTTGTGTATGTTGAGAGACTCTTGTCACACACTGTCCTAGATGTGTGTGTTGAGAGACTCTTGTCACACACTGTCCTAGGTGTTGTGTATGTTGAGAGACTCTTGTCACACACTGTCCTAGATGTTGTGTATGTTGAGAGACTCTTGTCACACACTGTCCTAGGTGTTGAGAGACTCTTGTTTCACACAGTCCTTGATGTTGAGAGACTCTTGTCACACACTGTCCTAGATGTTGTGTGTGTTGAGAGACTCTTGTCACACACTGTCCTAGGTGTTGAGAGACTCTTGTCACACACTCCGCTAGATGTTGTGTATGTTGAGAGACTCTTGTCACCCACTGTCCTAGACGTTGTGTATGTTGAGAGACTCTTGTCACACACTGTCCTAGGTGTTGTGTATGTTGAGAGACTCTTGTCACCCACTGTCCTAGACGTTGTGTATGTTGAGAGACACTTGTCACACACTGTCCTAGATGTTGTGTATGTTGAGAGACTCTTGTCACCCACTGTCCTAGACGTTGTGTATGTTGAGAGACTCTTGTCACACACTGTCCTAGACGTTGTGTATGTTGAGAGACACTTGTCACACACTGTCCTAGATGTTGAGAGACTCTTGTCACACACTGTCCTAGGTGTTGTGTATGTTGAGAGACTCTTGTCATCCACTGTCCTAGATGTTGTGAATGTTGAGAGACTCTTGTCACACACTGTCCTAGGTGTTGTGTATGTTGAGAGACTCTTGTCACCCACTGTCCTAGATGTTGTGAATGTTGAGAGACTCTTGTCACACACTGTCCTAGATGTTGAGAGACTCTTGTAACACACTGTCCTAGGTGTTGTGTATGTTGAGAGACTCTTGTCACACACTGTGCTAGATGTTGTGTATGTTGAGAGACTCTTGTCACACACTGTCCTAGATGTTGTGTGTGTTGAGAGGCTCTTGTCACACACTGTCCTAGATGTTGTGTATGTTGAGAGACTCTTGTCACCCACTGTCCTAGGTGTTGAGAGACTCTTGTCACACACTGTCCTAGGTGTTGTGTATGTTGAGAGACTCTTGTCACACACTGTCCTAGGTGTTGAGAGACTCTTGTCACACACTGTCCTAGGTGTTGTGTATGTTGAGAGACTCTTGTCACACACTGTCCTAGATGTGTGTGTTGAGAGACTCTTGTCACACACTGTCCTAGGTGTTGTGTATGTTGAGAGACTCTTGTCACACACTGTCCTAGATGTTGTGTATGTTGAGAGACTCTTGTCACACACTGTCCTAGGTGTTGAGAGACTCTTGTCTCACACAGTCCTTGATGTTGAGAGACTCTTGTCACACACTGTGCTAGATGTTGTGTATGTTGAGAGACTCTTGTCACCCACTGTCCTAGACGTTGTGTATGTTGAGAGACTCTTGTCACACACTGTCCTAGATGTTGTGTATGTTGAGAGACTCTTGTCACCCACTGTCCTAGACGTTGTGTATGTTGAGAGACACTTGTCACACACTGTCCTAGGTGTTGTGTATGTTGAGAGACTCTTGTCACCCACTGTCCTAGATGTTGTGTATGTTGAGAGACACTTGTCACACACTGTCCTAGATGTTGTGTATGTTGAGAGACTCTTGTCACCCACTGTCCTAGATGTTGTGTATGTTGAGAGACTCTTGTCACACACTGTCCTAGGTGTTGTGTATGTTGAGAGACACTTGTCACCCACTGTCCTAGATGTTGAGAGACTCTTGTCACACACTGTCCTAGATGTTGTGTATGTTGAGAGACTCTTGTCACACACTGTCCTAGATGTTGTGTATGTTGAGAGACTCTTGTCACCCACTGTCCTAGATGTTGTGTATGTTGAGAGACTCTTGTCACATACTGTCCTAGATGTTGTGTATGTTGAGAGACACTTGTCACACACTGTCCTAGGTATTGTGTATGTTGAAAGACACTTGTCACACACTGTCCTAGATGTTGAGAGACTCTTGTCACACACTGTCCTAGGTGTTGTGTATGTTGAGAGACTCTTGTCACACACTGTCCTAGATGTTGAGAGACTCTTGTCACCCACTGTCCTAGATGTTGTGTATGTTGAGAGACTCTTGTCACACACTGTCCCAGGTGTTGTGTATGTTGAGAGACTCTTGTCACACACTGTCCTAGATGTTGTGTATGTTGAGAGACTCTTGTCACACACTGTCCTAGGTGTTGTGTATGTTGAGAGACTCTTGTAACACACTGTCCTAGATGTTGAGAGACTCTTGTCACATACTGTCCTAGATGTTGAGAGACTCTTGTCACACACTGTCCTAGATGTTGAGAAACTCTTGTCTCACACAATTCTGTCCTTGGTATACTCAGTGGGCCAGGAGATAATGTGTGTTTTCATTGATCATTTGTGAGATGACACATATAAAAGTTAGAACCTCTACGACAATGTAAATTTTCTGAAGCAATCAACCACTTTTGCCTGGGTTTATTAAAAAAGTGGCCTACTTAGGGACTGACGGTTTAATATTTGGGTGGGGGTGAAGGGACTGTATGTTTTTTTTAAACTACTTTTATGCTCACTGTTTCTAAGACGTTCAAAAGTCAAACAATTTCATTTTGGAGTCACAAAACACTTTTTTCAAAACATCCAGCATTTAAAGCTAGTACTTATTCTTTTTGAAAAATAAATGAAGGAAAATTATTTTTCAACAAATTATTTTCATAAAGCTGCCCCACCCAGAATGTCAAAATGTCGGAACCTTATCATGTGACTGTAACACTGTAACAACAAAGAGTAGGCAGTGTATGCCTGTTGGACACAATCCAAACTGATATTGACACTCAGATATAAAGGCGGCTGTGTACATGACATGAAGTGATATGGATTGACACCTAATACTCTTGTTTTATTCTTTGTGACCAGCCAAGTGGTTAAGCTGCTATTTGGGGTATTTACCCCTCCAGAATGGGGTATTACTGTCACACAATGTCTCACATAACGGTGCACTTCACACAGTCGGACAGGGTAGAAATGACCTCGAATGCAAGGTCAAATCTATGGTTAAAATATTGGAAATCGTTTGATAATGTGAACAATTTTCTTCCTAACTTGCCTTGTTTGGCATATCAAAGCCAGTAAATGCAGGAGCATAGCATTATGTATTGTCTGTTCAAGGAGTTCGTTCACACCATCTCCAAATTATCAATCCATGAAGATCCAGATTAGAATTGGTCTTCAGCAACCCATGCTTCCATAAAAGGCTACTATGCTTGTAAGAGGCGATGGGGTGGTCAAGCTCGCTGACTTGGTTGATTCATGTCATCGTATCTCAATTGCGTGGATCTATGCTAATGATGTCAATCACTGGATTGTCTGGTCCAGACTCGATTATTTACAGACCGCCATCATGTGGATGGAATTTTGCAGAGTGCGGCAACAACAGACGAAAAAACAAACAACAAACTTTGATGCTCATCATGACCGGATTGTCTGGTCAAGACTCGATCATTTACAGACCGCTGTCATGAAGCAGGAATACTGCTGGGCGTGGTGATAAACATCAAAAGAAACAAGCAATAAAATTAGTGATATCGTGTCATTTTACCATGTCAGAAAAACTGGAACTGTCAAGATCCATGGAAATATCACTAGACCTGACTGTTAATGTTTGAATCCTGACGAGAGTCCCCAGGTTGTAGTACCCCAGGCAAGTTGCTCCAGCTGTATGTAGAGAAATCATGCAAGATTGATTCCCACCACAACTTAAAAGTGAGATTGGTGGCTGTAAATGGTGCCCTGTATGTCATTGTGCCCAAACTGTGTTGATCATTGCTCCTTCCTTAAACCACCGGTCTGCCTGGTCCTATACTGGTGGAATGGTGCATCTACATCATATTTACACACATGCACATACACACACACACACACACGTGCACGCACACAATCATTAGGGATGACGGGGATGTCACAATTCATTGCTGTCAATACATCTCAAATATTTACAAATGATGATATGAAACACGATGCGCTTTTAAACTATTACGGCTGTTGCAGTGGTGTTGTTAACTGACGGTGACACCCCACGCCCCAGCCCCACCCACACCAAGCCCCACCCACACCCAGCTCCACCCTACCCCCAACCCTAGCCCCAACTCCACCTTACTCCCAGCCACCCACACCAAGCCCCACCCACACCCAGCCCCACCCTACATCAAACCTCACCCACGCCCCAGCTCCACCTTACTCCCAGCCACCCACACCAAGCCCCACCCACACCCAGCCCCACCCTACTCCTAGCTCCATCCACACCAAGCCCCACCCACACCCAGCTCCACCCTACCCCCAACCCTAGCCCCAACTCCACCTTACTCCCAGCCACCCACACCAAGCCCCACCCACACCCAGCCCCACCCTACATCAAACCTCACCCACGCCCCAGCTCCACCCTACTCCCAGCCATCCACACCAAGCCCCACCCACACCCAGCCCCACCCTACACCAAACCTCACCCACGCCCCAGCTCCACCTTACTCCCAGCCACCCACACCAAGCCCCACCCACACCAAGCCTCACCCACGCCCCAGCTCCACCCTACTCCCAGCCACCCACACCAAGCCCCACCCACACCCAGCCCCACCCTACTCCTAGCTCCATCCACACCAAGCCCCATCCACACCCAGCCCCACCCTATTCCTAGCTCCACCCACACCACTAAAGTCCACCAATGACATCAACTTCACAGGATTCCTGTTGTCCTGTTGTTCAGGTGTACAGCTTCTGGTCCTGTTGTACCGGTGTACAGCATGTGGTCCTACTGTACAGGTGTACAGCCTCTGGTCCTGTTGTGTTGACACTTGACTGTACCGAGCTTTCTTTACTTTCTTAATCTTGCCACTTTCAGGAGGAGCTGGAGAGAACCCAACATGAGCTGATAGCAGCTCAGCACCGTGCAGCTCAACTCCAGTCGGAGAAGGTTTCTAGATTGTCTCCCAGACTAATCCACCCCACTAACACCCAGCCTGTGCCTCCTCAGTCTTGTTTTCCAAAATACAGCATCCCCAAGAGGGGTGTGTGCACCAGTGTCCGAAATAATTACCTGTCTGGCTGGTAATTTTTCTGTCAGGCTGTCTGAAATGTTCCTCCTCCTGCCCCACTGTCTGGCAGATAATTTTAAGACTACTTATGTTTTCAATTTTATTTTAACTCCTCGAGATTCACTGGTAATTGTTTGCATTATTTCAACTGAATCATGACACGATTTGTCTCTTATTTTTATGATTTTTCAATATTTATAACGTCTGAATGCGGCCATGTAACTTTGAAGATGGGCAGGCAACACTCATGGGTCACCTGCATGACTGTCTTGTTGGTTTTAACATTATTTCAAACACTGGTGTGCGCTATAATATAACAAATTGAAAAATACAGTATGTCAAACAGAGCAACTCCTGTTTATGACAGAGGAATGTGGTAGTCAAATTCTGAGGAACATTTTGGATATATTTTTTTAAGTGTTTTTGTGAAGCCCCAATGGAATACTTAATAGTTAGAATCAGTAGAAAGTTGAAGAGTAAAGTTTGAGTACATTACAAAAGTGAAAATGGTTCTCAACATTTATATGTTGATTCATGGTTTGTAATTTTATTCAAAAAGTAAACCTTGCTTTATATATGGAGAAATACTGTAGAGTCAATACTGTAAGTATTATTTTGAATCTGGGTTATTTGTAACCCAGCCATCAATACTTCACAGACTTCTATATGTTCCTCCATCACATGTTGAAACATTAGGCCTCTGTACAAATATATTACTCCAAAGAAGTTAAGGATCACCCAATTCAACACCGATGCCAAAACAGATTAACTTTAGTAAAATAAAAGAATTGGGTGTTCTTCACCTTCTCTTGAGTAGCTATACACAAAAGTGTGAAGAATATATAATATTTGCAGTTTTTCTGTAAGAGAAGGCACAGACTGTTGATTGTTGATATTTTCAGGTTTCTGATTGTGTTTGTGTCCTGGACTGATGACTAATAACTTCCTGTACAAGTCAATGTTTTCTTTGTCTAGGCTAACAATGAGTGTTGAAAATTACCACATCAGCTGGCGAGAGGCATGTATTTCTGTGGGTTGTATGTACCCAGTGGGAACCAGGTTTAAATACCGGTACGTCTCCAGTAGGGCTGGGACGGGTAACTCGGGTCAGATGGGTACTGAGTAGGACCCGGGTACCCACAGGGTTACCCAGACCCATGGTTAGTCACGTGATATATTGTTTAATGACAAAAATGATCTAGAACTATATGGTTACACTACAAGACACTAATGTTCGCATTTCTTTCTGACTATGCTCCCATTCCTTCTGACTTGAATATTTTTGAATAAGGATAAAACTTCTGTGGATGTATGACCAGATGATTTAATTTATAGTGTTCATCCAACTATATTTTTCCTGGGCTACAGTCAAACTTTTCCCAATTGAACATTTTGTACCTATCTCTTGAGACCTACAGCGGGTACCCAGATAGAGTCCGGTAATAGGGGGGTGGGTACCCAGGGAGTAAATTTGGACTCGTCCTAGCCCTAGTCTCCAGGCAATACTCTGTTGCATCTCAATTGGTCTGTTGGTCATATTTGGTGACTTGGCTGATAATTTGTCATCGTGTCCCAAAGACAGGAAATTCCTCATGATATCAACCACTGATTCAAATAATCTTAGTGCAAACATGAATAATGGTATTATTTCAAACCTGAAGACCTGTGAAGATCCGGGGTAGAATAGGTCTTCAGCAGCCCATGCTTGCCGTTAAAGGTGACTATGCTTGTCGTAAAAGGCGACTAACGGGATCAGGTGGTCAGGCTCGCTGACTTGGTTGATACATGTCATTGATCCCAATTGTGTTGATCCATGCTCATTATGTCAATCACTGGATTGTCTAGTCCAGACTCGATTATTTACAGACCACCGTCATGTAGCTGAGATATTGCTGAGTGCGGCGTTAAACAACAAACAAACAAACAAAAACAAACAAAGCAAACCTGAAGGACCCAAGGTCCGACCTTAGTATCAAACACTGTCATGGCTTGTCATTATTTCTGACTTCAAGTCTCCATGGCTGTTGTGTTAATTTCCAACACTGAATTATTTCCATGTTTTTAACGTTTAGCATGACAGAGGCGGATCCAGAATTCCAAACACACCCTGCCCCACCTGTATTCTGGATCCGCCATGGCATGATACGTTGTGTCTTTATTAACCAAAGGAATGTACACTAAACATCTCGGGTAGACTGCCTTACCAAGTTTGTATGTACTGATAACACCCTGTCACCCTGTAGAAACTTGTCAGTTTCATCCAGCGATATTGTAACTCAACCCCCTCTTAACAGAAACCTCAACCAGGTCTCTTGACCAAACTCACCTTTGTAACTAACTCAACCCCCTTTCTAACAGAAACCTCAACCTGGTCCCGTGATCAAACTCAACTTTGTGTCTAACTCAACCCCCTTTCCAACAGAAACCTCAATCTGGTCTCTTGACCAAACTCAACTTTGTATCTAACTCAACCCCTTTCCAACAAAAACCTCATGACCACAACTCCACGTTGTGAATAACCCACATCATCTCTGTTCATCCAGTGTATTATGGCTCAGTTCTGTTATGATAAATACCCTGGACGTGTTTGTCGCCATGGCTTCATTTTTTTCAGGCTGAAGAGCTGTTTGTTTGTGTCATATTCGAATCTGACTCCAAGCTGTGGTGGCAAATAAGTCCAGTGTATTCATCCTTACTGAATGGAGATTCTTGCTGGTGAATCAAGGATGGTTTCCACTAGCAACTGAAACCTGGTCCGTGATCAAATCACGAGATTGTAACCTTTTCTCTGAATAACATCAAGGTTCATACAGGCTTGAAAAGGCCTTGAATTTTTAGGTCGATCTTGGAAAGCCTTGAATTTTCAGGTCCCTCTTGAAAAGCCTTGAATTTTCAGGTCCCTCTTGAAAAGCCTTTATTTTTCATGTCAACTTTGAAAAACCTTGAAAATCACCAAAATGGCTTGAAAAGCTTTGAATTTGTACAAGATACTTGTTTATGAAATTATATTTTATTTTTTTACTTAATTAATTTATGTTTTTTGTTGGTTGTGAAAATAAATCTTGTTTGAAAATGTGTGATGTTCATGCAGCTTTTTAGATCTTATGATAAATATATAGTTTGCAGGATTTAAAAAAAATATTGACAGACTAAGGCTAATAACCCAACTAAAAAAGCCTTGAAAATCAAGGTTGAAAGCCTTGAAAAGCTTTGAAAAGGCGTTCCGTATCTGTATGAACCTTGAACAGGTTGTGTTGTTTAGGTTTGATTCAGTAACAGACCATTATTAATTAATCGTGAGGTTTTCATTTATCATCCAAAACATGCTTCCAGATCAGGCAATATTTCCTCAGAGACATCACTACGGGGAGGTATCACTACAATCAAATTGCATCACAATGTTTTACAGGTCATTGGTTACCATGGCGTCACAATCAAATGACATCACTAATGTTTCTGCTGCTGAAGCTGGTTGGCAGTACTTTGTACCCTCAAGACACTGGTTGTTACTGTTTATAAGCTGAAAAGATTGAAGCATTATTTTGGATGATAAATAGAATCTCACTTGAGTGTCTTTTGACATCCAACATTTGTCACAAAAAGTTCAAAACTTAAACGTTTTCCAAGGATGGGTCAGTATAACTGATGAGTGTGACCGTGCATGTTAATGTGTGTGTGAGTGTGTTTAGCCTTCATGAGTATCTTTATGCAATCGGAAACCAATTTCGTAGAAATACAGTAAACTACGGTTATAACGAACACAAAGGGACAGCTAATTTCAGTTCGTTATAACCGTAATTCGTTATAAGCATATATACAGCATAACTACAGCGTAACTACAGCATATAGTCGGGACTAAAAGGTTAGTTAGTTATATCCGTTAGTTCGTTATAAGCGTGTTCGTTATAACCGTAGTTTACTGTACTTAGTGTCATTGAGCATTTTTAACCAGTGAGATCTGGACTTCAGGCTGCAGCTTTATTATAATGGTGAACATTGCACTTTTGTAAGTAACTTATAGTTGTTAACAATTCAAATTTTTTTGGGGTAAAACTTGTTTGTCCTTATTGATGGGTATATAAATATTTGTCCAATTTCTTTGAGGGTTTCTAGAATTTCTCATTCTTTGTACAGGGCGATCGTGAATCCACAGACACTACCCGAATATTTGACCTTGACCCCTCTGAGCCTCCAAGTCAGGACACGACTCGCCAGTCAACCAGAGAAGGATCAAGACAGGTGACCTTGAACTTGAACTTGCTGCACTTTGACCTTGTGACATGACCTTGTCCTTTGAGTTACAGTGACCAAAGCAGTATAAGCCAAGGTTATCGAACCTTTTTGGGTTTACACATCTATGTCACATTTGCGATTTTAAGAAAAGCACGTTGAAAAAACATCTACTTGAAATACATAGGGAATTAAGAGGTGCTATATATAAATAAAACCTCATTTTGAAATATATTTCATTTCATTTTAGACCCGTGAAGTTTCATGTTAGAATAGGTCTTCAGCAACCCATGCTTCGATAAATGGCCACTATGCTTGTCGTAAGAGGCGACTAATGGGGTCGGGTGGTCAGGCTTGCTGACTTGGTTGATACATGTCATCATACCCCAATTGCGTGGATCCATGCTCATGATGTCAATCACTTGATTGTCTGGTCCAAACTTGATCAGTTACAACCTGCTGTCATATAACTGGAATATTGCTGAGTGTGGCGTTAAACAACAAACAAACAAACAAACAAACAAAACATTTCCTGACCAGAAGTAGTAATCAGACAAAGCTTTACTGCTTCCAAATTTGGAAAACAAAGCATACATCTGTTGCTCCTTCAGTGCAACCCAATGTTACTTAAAGGTTTGTGATGAAGTTTTCGCCACCAAGATCCAATGCCATTTTTTTCTAGGAAAGATAAATTTATACTGCAAAACAGAAAGTGAATTTTCCTCTTTCTTATTTTCATTATCATCATCTCAACAACAATAATATTCATATTTCTTGAGGGGCGGTCAGGTCGCCTAGTGGTTAAAGCGTTCGCTCGTCACGCCGAAGACTGACATGGGTACAATGTGTGAAGCCCATTTCTGGTGTCCCCCGCTGTGATATTGCTGGAATATTGCTAAAGGCGGCGTAAAACCAAACTCACTCACTCACTCATATTTCTCGACTTATCTTTCTCCATTCTATGCATGTTCCTCTCTGTAGGATATACTTCTGCTCATATATCTCTACCTGCTTGTCTGTATCTGTTAAGGTTCCACTAAGGCGCCAGAGGTGGCCTAGTACTCTAAGGTGATGCTTTTTTGTTCAGAGTTGCCTCCCTTAGGAGTGACACGATCCTATAATCATGGGTTTGAATCCCAGAAACACACTGTTTATGACCAGTGATTTGTCAGCACCTTAACCTGTATCAATTCTGGCTGTTCTCCCAGATTGAGCTGACACGCTGTGATATAACTGAAATACTGTTCACAGCAGCAGAATACACAACTCACTCTCTCTCTTCCATGTCCCACTAATCATCTTCTGCCTGTCTTCCTTCCACTAACATTCTAGAGTGAAAAGTCCAAAGGAAAGACCAAGTCTAAGTCTAAGACTGGGGTAAGGTTTCTCACAATGCTTTGTAACACCAAGCTCCTTGCTGCTATTTTTTACCCTTGCCATCCCGACAGTCAAAGCTTAATTTCCTCAGCAGGGTTAACCTTGCAAAACATACACAGTTCAAGTGCCAGTACCAAACCCTCCTCCCAAGCTCTACACAGTTCACATGCCAATGCCAGTTGCAAAATCTACTCCCTCGTCACTGTTCAAAATAAGAAAATGCCAGGCTGCCATTAGGACCCACAGAAGCTGCAGGCCCTGACTGAACTCTTCAGGCCCTGACTAAACACTTCAGGCCCTGACTGAACTCTTCAGACCCTGACTAAACTCTTCAGGCCCTGACTAAACTCTTCAGGCCCTGACTAAACTCTTCAGACCCTGACTGAACTCTTCAGACCCTGACTAAACTCTTCAGGCCCTGACTAAACTCTTCAGGCCCTGACTAAACTCTTCAGGCCCTGACTAAACTCTTCAGACCCTGACTGAACTCTTCAGACCCTGACTAAACTCTTCAGGCCCTGACTAAACTCTTCAGGCCCTGACTGAACTCTTCAGGCCCTGACTGAACTCTTCAGGCCCTGACTAAACTCTTCAGGCCCTGACTAAACTCTTCAGACCCTGACTAAACTCTTCAGGCCCTGACTAAACTCTTCAGGCCCTGACTAAACTCTTCAGGCCCTGACTAAACTCTTCAGGCCCTGACTAAACTCTTCAGACCCTGACTGAACTCTTCAGGCCCTGACTAAACTCTTCAGGCCCTGACTGAACTCTTCAGGCCCTGACTGAACTCTTCAGGCCCTGACTAAACTCTTCAGGCCCTGACTAAACTCTTCAGACCCTGACTGAACTCTTCAGGCCCTGACTGAACTCTTCAGGCCCTGACTAAACTCTTCAGGCCCTGACTAAACTCTTCAGGCCCTGACTAAACTCTTCAGGCCCTGACTGAACTCTTCAGGCCCTGACTAAACTCTTCAGGCCCTGACTGAACTCTTCAGACCCTGACTGAACTCTTCAGACCCTGACTAAACTCTTCAGGCCCTGACTAAACTCTTCAGGCCCTGACTAAACTCTTCAGGCCCTGACTAAACTCTTCAGGCCCTGACTAAACTCTTCAGACCGGCCCTGACTAAACTCTTCAGGCCCTGACTAAACTCTTCAGACCCTGACTGAACTCTTCAGACCCTGACTAAACTCTTCAGGCCCTGACTAAACTCTTCAGGCCCTGACTGAACTCTTCAGGCCCTGACTGAACTCTTCAGGCCCTGACTAAACTCTTCAGGCCCTGACTAAACTCTTCAGGCCCTGACTAAACTCTTCAGGCCCTGACTGAACTCTTCAGGCCCTGACTAAACTCTTCAGGCCCTGACTAAACTCTTCAGGCCCTGACTAAACTCTTCAGGCCCTCATTTAAGAAACTACTGGGACAAATCAATAGACAGGTAATTTACTGCAGGCCATAAGGATCCATACAACTTTGAAACTACGAGCCGACACAAGATCTACTTGCCACGAGCCTTCAGGCAAGCACTTGTTTCGAAGACTGACCCACATCCAACACAGCTGATATGTCCCTTCATCCCAGTCCATCACAGCTAATATGTCCATGTTTTCTGGTATATGTTTGCTTTTACAACCACACTGCCAACATTTTCCTATTACTGTCACAGCTTTGCACAGCCCAGCTATCAGCAGCCGAGACTGTATGTGATAAAGACAGCCCACATAAAACACAGTAATTGTCACTGCATTGCACAGCCCAGCTATAAGACGCCAGTCACTACCAAATATGACTGTCAGAGCATTGCTCATCTCAGCTTTAAGCATCATCACTCTATATCAACTTAAATAACTGCCTTTGTGTACCTTTTTCAGTACTCTTGTGTGTAACAATGACAGTCCATACTAAAACACTCTAACTGTCATGGCATTGCACATCCCAGCTATAAGCATCATCATCATTCCTTTTGAACATATAAAAAACTTGTCGTTGTCTTCTCTTTCTCTATATTCGGTGACTGCCTCCGTGGTCTAGTGGTAGAGTGTCCACCCGGAGAGCGGAAGGTCGTGGGTTCGATCCCTGACTGTGACATACCCAAAGACGTTAAAAGATGGTGCTTGTTGTTACCCTGCCTGGCGCTCAGCATTAAGGGGCTAAAACAAGGACTAGTCGGCTCAGTCAGTTTACTGTGTCTAAGTGGGGTATTCATGTTAAACTGTGGCATTGTGTCTCAATGGGCTAGCACTATAAAATGGTCATCAGTCCAGACTAGTACAAGCAGCCACACACACACACCTCGCTATTTAAGTGCAATGATCTTGGACGCAACATTAAACCCCATTTCCACTCACACTCTGTATTCTGTAATAATGACAGTCCACAAAAAACACTGTAATTGACACAGCGTTGCTTGTCCCAGCTTCAAGCAGCCAGTTTTGACACAAGTCACTATGGCCGCCCTTTCTTGCTACCTTGTATGTACAAAAGACAGCCAACAAGAGACAGAATTACAACTGTCACAGCATTGCTTGTCCCAGCTATAAGCAGCCAGTTTTGACACAAGTCACCATGGCCGCCCTTTCTTGCTATCTTGTACGTACTAAAGACAGCCAACAGGAAAAAGAAATATAACTGTCACAGCATCGCTTGTCCCAGCTATAACTTGGCAGTTTTGACACAAGTCACCATGGCCATCCACTCGCTACCTTTTACGAACAAAAGACAACCAACAGGAAAAAGAAATATAACTGTCACAGCATTGCTTGTCCTGGCTATAAGCACCCAGTTTTGACACAAGTGACCATATGCTGATGACTGCCCTTTCTCTCCACCGTGTATGTGGTAATGAGAACACAATTGGCCATTAGTACTGCTGGGCCCTCTTAGGCACCATAATACCATTTGCGCCGCCAGACCATCGATTATAGATTAATTCCTTGGTTATTGCTGTGATTGTCCTGGCTGTCAGGTGCTAACTGGCAACAAGGAAAGCAAGAAAACATGCAAGGAAATTACAGCCAAAATAGCGCCAAAGTGACTGTCCCATTAGAGAGTTTCTGACACTCACATTAACAGCTGTCAATCGATAACAATAAGAAATGTCGAATCCCGGTTTGCCCCGATTATGTTTCTAGGTTTGTCATCACCATACCCATGCTCGTAGGTTTCACCGAAGTGGTAAACATCCGAGACCTGCATCACTTCGGGGTTTCCTCCCACATTTAGCTGACACGTCGTGATATAACTGGAATACTGTTAAAAGCGGCGTTAAACCCAACTCACTCAATAAGAAATGTACGTTCAATCAGTACTGGGACCATCTATGGCAGAGTTTCTTCACTCAAGTTTTGATTTAAAAAGGGAAATGCCTGTCTATAACAAGCATAAGACATCGCACATACTTATTTTATTTGATGTGGGTACATATTGTGGTCACTTGGAAACGCAATTTTAATATCTGGGACTCCAAAATGTATTGCTGAGTCCCCAGGAGTCGCAGATATAAAGAAGAGTTGCTTCCCTTAGTTTGTCAGGATTTGCTGCAAGGACCTGCCTAGAGCCCAATATTTGGCCCGAAATCTAAAGCAAATGTCATTTAAATTCCCAATTTGTAACTAAATAATTCCCTTTCATGTTAATAATTATTAATAAATATTAATATATATCACTAACGACTAAGTTTATGGCTTTGTACACAACCAATAACTAGGAACAATGCTTCATTTGATATTATTGCATTAAATGCAATGTCAAAATACTTCTAATTTTAAGAAAATAACTTTTAAAAAATCCCAATTTTGAACAAAATATCGATTTTTGTCAATTTGCCTGTCAGGCACACTTATTTAAGAATCCTAGATAAATCCCTGTTATTGCTTGCAAGTTTGAACCCAGCATTCAGTGATGTATTGTACATATTACACCTGTGGGAATTATCCCCTGCTGTTCGTAAGAGGCAAGTTAATGTATCAGGTGGTCAGCAACCCATGCTTGTCGTAAAAGGCGACTAACGGGATCGGGTGGTCATAGCATTATGTATTGTCTGTTCAAGGAGTTCGTTCACACCATCTCCAAATTATCAATCCATGAAGATCCAGATTAGAATTAGTCTTCAGCAACCTATGATGCTTCCATAAAAGGCGACTATGCTTGTAAGAGGCGACTAACGGGATCGGGTGGTCAGGCTCGCTGACTTGGTTGATTCATGTCATTGTATCTCAATTGCGTGGATCGATGCTCATGATGTCAATCACTGGATTGTCTGGTCCAGACTCGATTATTTACAGACCGCCGTCACATAGCTGGAATACTGCTAAAAGTGTGGTATAACGTAATTTGTATTTATCATTATAATTTCCTTTTATATCATTTTCAGTTAAAATTAATTTAATTATTTTCAGTCAATTTTGTCCAGTATCTTGTAAGATTAGTATTGTGTGGTGAAAAGGAATAGAAATTATTGCAGCACAAGTGAAAACAATATGTAGGTCATAAAATTGTTTATTCAACAATTAACCCATTTTTTTTCATTCATTTATCAGTAAATCGGTTACAGTAAAAGTTCGCTTCGTGACATTTATTGTCAGAGAATGAAAAACAAGTTCATGTCGTAAGAATATGTCGTCATGGTGATACGAGACCTTGTGCTCATATCGGACTCACAACACACGCAGGTACTTGTCCGGTGCCTAGGAACATCTAATGCTGTCTAATTCTGGAAAATAAATCACACTTCCTGATATTTGTATTTGGGCTTGGGAGAAATGGCAGCTGTGACATTGTAAAAGCAGCAGGTAATTGTTAGCCTTGATTGTGTATCTGACAGTGTTCTTGAACTGACTGCGTGATGAGTTGGCGTAGGAAGGCTAAAGAAGGCGTTATTTGTGAAAACATCACTTGTTTTGTGCAGGATTATTTAGTGTTTATGAGAATTTGAAAGGGAATCTGTAGGCAGGGATGTGTAGGCAGATGTGGAAGGAATACTACAAATGTGCCACACTCTAAAACATCGGATTACCATCACTGACTCACTATGACAGCTGCATCATATTTCATTGTTTAGTTGAATATTTTTAAAACAATTTTATTTGTCTATATTATGAGACTAAAGGTAAGTGTTGATGTCTTTTTGTTAAGTGCTCGAAGTCAAAGGTGACATGGAGTACTTGATGTCTTTGGTATTTGAATCCAGGGACCCCTAAGTCTGTAGTCTATGGTACAAATACTGACATTTTCAGACATGATAATCAGTGCTAGAAACAGGACTAATCTCAATTCCCTTGACTAAGCTATAAGCATGATGAGTTTAGTTTTTAAATGTGTTTTTAATCTTCCAGGAGACACGTTCCAAGGCAAGTCGGCAGGGCAGTGTAGCCAGCAAAAAGTCGGGGAAATCGCCCAGCCGGGGGTCCAAGTCAGAGGTGGGTGGAGGATTTGTCTGGGAATATCATTTCCTTCTTGAATGTCAATGTTCCACATGTACCGTAAGCACATACCCTGGGATCTTACAGGGGATATTGGTGGCACAGTGGTGTGTGCAGAGTTGCCTCCCCTAGACATGCATGACACTGGTCCTGTGTTCGAATCCTAAGTTTTGTACCATGGTCTGTCAGCACCATACCAATGTTTATGGTTTGGGGTAAAGATCTGAATGTGTGTAACCCAAGTAAAGATCGGAATGTTTGTAACCCAAGTAAGGATCAGAATGTTTGTAACTCAAGTAAAGATCTGAATGTTTGTAACTCAAGTAAGGATCAGAATGTTTGTAACTCAAGTAAAGATCAGAATGTTTGTAACCCAAGTAAAGATCAGAACGTTTGTAACCCAAGTAAAGATCTGAATGTTTGTAACTCAAGTAAAGATCGGAATGTTTGTAACCCAAGTAAAGATCGGAATGTTTGTAACCCAAAGTAAAGATCGGAATGTTTGTAACCAAAGTAAAGATCTGAACGTTTGTAACTCAAGTAAAGATCGGAATGTTTGTAACCAAAGTAAAGATCTGAACGTTTGTAACTCAAGTAAAGATCGGAATGTTTGTAACTCAAGTAAAGATCGGAATGTTTGTAGCCCAAGTAAAGATCAGAATGTTTGTAACTCAATTAAAGATCAGAATGTTTGTAACCTAAGTAAAGATCAGAATATTTGTAGCCCAAGTAAAGATCGGAATGTTTGTAACCCAAGTCTCTGAACATGTTCAGCTGCAAGATCAGCAATAGAAACGAACAGTTTTAGTCCACTGGTCCTTATAATGATAACATATAGCAAAACCCTTAAGAAGGCCACATTTCTACTTGTCCTTATGTTCCCAAGGACAATAGGACTAGTACCAATTTCTAACGCTGAAGATGGTTCTGCATGTTTACAGTTTTTGACAGCTTGTCATTTCTATTTCAGTCGAAGCCAGGCAGCAGGGCAAGCATCAAGGCCGACGGTAGGTGGCTCTCGTTATTACTTGCGTGGTAGAATAGGTCTTCAGCAACCCATGCTTGCCATAAAAGGCGACTATGCTTGTTGTAAATGGCGACTAAGGGCATCGGGTGGTCAGGCTCGCTGACTCGGTTGAAGCATGTCATCGATCCCAATTGCGTGGAACTATGCTCATGACGTCACTCACTGGATTGTCTGGTCCAGACTCGATTATTTACAGACCGCCGTCATATAGCTGGAATATTGCTGAGTGCAGCGTACAACAACAAACCAAACCAAACCAAACCAAACCAAATTACCGGCGTATTGAGTTCAGTCCTAGCCGAAAACAGCAGTGATGCTCAAACACCAAGTACTTCAACTGGATTTACAAATTCCAACATGAAGAACAGTTGCAATCATAATTCATTAATTCAAGGATTACAAAACTTGTACACAAAATACAAATAAGTATGCACTACCTACAGTGTCCCATTGCAATGGTACTTGCCTAATCTTACTAAAAGACAGATAATAAACTCCCGATAGGATACGCCAAGATCTGGGGACATAGGTCAGATGAAGCTTGAGTGAACTTTGATCACCCATCAAAATAAAGGCTGCATGGGTCCTTGAGCTAAGTAGAGGTCAGGTTTCAAAACAATCTGGCTTCATATATTTACTGCCTCAATTAGAAAATTTCGATTTCTGGCAAAGGAAACTGCCACAAAACATCCTTTTGTGTGTTAATGCCATGGCATTCGCAAACGACTGGATGTATACAAACAATATCTACATCAATATAACAGCATTCAGATTTCCCCAATTGATTTCATTTTGAAGATACAGAAATCGGATATACTCTAACTCATACCGAGACTTTAGAGTGAGTATGTGAGTGAGTGTGGTTTTACGCCGCTTTTAGCAATATTCCAGCAATATCATGGCGGGGGGTCACCAGAAATGGGCTTCACACGCTTTTAGCAATATTCCAGTGGCAGCTAACCAAGACTCGACACCGAATACCTGAGAAGAAAGTTCAGCTAATGCAACCTCCTTTGAAGGTATCTGATCAGAGTTATAGATCTGATTTTAATGAGACTGTTACCAGTTAAATGCTGATTGACTGAAACCCAGTTGATATTTCCCATGTTAAAAACATCCAATTTTTAAAAATATTTTTAACAGGCCACTGGATTTATTATAAGAACTATGCCAATTTGTAACTCACCTGACAGAAATTCAAGTGAGCTTATGTCATGGCACTTCTGTTGGTATTATCTGTTTGTTTGTTTGTTTGTTTGTTTGTTCGTTGTTTAACGCCGCACTCAGCAATATTCTAGCAAAATGACGGCAGTCTGTAAATAATCTAGTCTGGACCAGACAATCCAATGATTGACATCATGAACATCGATCAACGCAAATGGGTCCCGATCAACGCACCCGATCCTGTTAGTCGCCTCTTACGACTAACAGTGCTGTGGCACTATTATTTTCTTAAAATGTCTATGCACCGCCTTGAGTTTTGTCATGGAAATAACAGGCTTGAGAATCAATATGAATGGCTCATTGTTCGCAGATCACAAAGACGATGTTGACGATGAAATAGTCGATATCACACAATACACACCAGCAGGTAATCGGGTCAACACGTAGAGGGACAGTGTGTACTAACCTACATTAACTTGGTTTCTGACATAACGTGTCATGTGTTCTCATTTGTGACGTGGTTGATGTACAGTATCGTTCAGATCTTTTCTAGAAATCTCGTTTTCATAATTTTATGGATGTTTTACTGAACACTTTAAGTATTTTTTATACATTGTTTTTTGCATTTAACAGTGTCATATAATTTTTTATCCTAATAAACCATTATGTATTTTTTTTAAAGACAATATTTTAGTTTCATAAATTTTACAAATATATATACACATATAATATTTTACCATCAGAGTAGGGCATATAATATTAATGTACTTGAGCAGTAGACTGACCTTGGGATGGGTACCCGGTAGTATTTAGAATAGATCTGCAGCAACCTATGTTTGTCGAAAGAACCGACCAATAGATTAAGTGGTCAGACTCAGTGCTTTTAAAGCCAACTTTATACAGAATATATATCTCCTTTTCCCCTGTCACGAGATGAGAGAAACATGATGTTTCATGAGCCACAAGAAATATCCTATTTATGATATATATACGTTTTGTGTAGTTTTCTCCCGGAAAATTAAATTATTTCATTACAAATGTAAAACCTTGAAACGTAAATTCGCCTTCCTAACACACAGGGACGGCTCACCACCCCTTGTATTTGCGACTAAAAAAGTAGTTTCGTGTTGCAAAATCTTTAAAAATGTTAAATTGTACCAATGTGGGGAACAAACCCAGGTCTTTGGCTGAACAGGCCAACCCTTTACCACATGGCTACCCCGCCCCAAAATAGTATAGAACTTCTTTTTCATCAACGTATACTAACTTAGAAAACATAGACACAAAAAACTAGAAAAAATTGATAATTTGATTTTGAATCATTATTAATTTCATATTTAGTTAATAACTTCATGGATTCATGTTTATAAAGCTGTGATTGTTTGGCTTTAAAATATGTACCCTTGTTATTTTGTTTGAGTTTATCAGGTTAGATTCAGAGTAATAACATCAGTTATAGTTGGAATCAGTTTGTAGTCCAGTCTTATGTTTTACTAACACATTATCGGTGGACGACAGGTGGACTTCCTTATCAGCTAATCCTTGCAGTTTTGTGAAGTCAGAACTTTTCTTTTTGTTATTGTACCATTTGAATTGTTGTTGGTGCAACTAAACATGGACATAGAAAAGGAATAGAAAAGATTGAACAGACAACAAATGTAGTGCCAATCTCATTAAAATCTAAACAAAGATCTGAGAACACCCCATTGCGGGTAGCGTCAGACTGATCTTGCGCCAACTTTGACTGATCAATGGAATGACTGACAAGATGTCGACATTAGCCAATCAAAAGGCAGCTTTCTCGTGCACTAATTTCAAATTGGCGACTGCACTTTCGAAACATATTTTGACAAATTCTTAATTAAAAATTTGAAACCTGAACAAAAGAACATTCTGAAATGGCTAATAGATGATCTAGATTGTTTAGATTCAGTTCTTAAGCCCGTAACTATTGTTTTGAATAACCCGTGTTAAAGTTTTCGAGGTTGCATGATTAGAGATCACATTCCGACTGTCACTTTCATGATCTGGTAAGCGACGCTCTGATTGGTCGGATGAAAGGTCGTTCTGAAGTAACCCCTAATGGGATGTCCTCAGATCTTTGCTCAGCGGTAGCGAGGACTAAGATCTGATTTTAGTGAGATTGATGTAGTGCTAAAATGAAAAGACTGTGCCTAGACAAGGCAGAGAGGCCGAAAGTTTCAGATTATGTCTTATTAAATTCCCCTATTGGAATGAACAGAAAAGAACATTCATAAATATGTGATCAAATCTAAAGTGTTAAATGAGATTTGAAACCCCAAAATATCAAGTTTTATATTTAATACTCTAAAGAAGTTAAAGAGCACATCATGACAGATTAACTGTAGTAACATGAAAAAATGTGGTGTGAAGATTCACAGTATAACTTATTAATCATCTTGTTGTAGCTAAATGTTTTTATTTGACTCTGTGCTGTGATCCAATAATGCAAGTGATTATTCTGATAATCTGTTGTATTTTCAGTGTATTTTCAGTGTATTTTCTTGTTCAACCCGGCAACTTCTTAGCAGACTATGTATTCTGTGGAATGAAGAATTTCTAGATCTTTAACCAGGCAGCCATTTTGTTTTTGAGAGGAAAAGTGTTCACAATCAGTTTCTTTTGCTTTTCTCATTCTGTTGTCTGCAGATTCAGGTTTTGACTGATCGTGTTCCCACTGTTGTAGATGCCAAGGAGTACGCTGAGGCTGCCGTGCAGGACGAAGGAGGCAACCCTTCCACGGCCAGTGTGGAGAAAACTGTAGCTAAGGGGAGACGATCCAAGACAGGACTGGCACCAGTTCGGGAGACAGATGCTGCAGAGTATGACAATGCGTTCGACCTGTCTGATGATGCATCATGGGTATGTGGTGCTTGTTGACACTGAGAAACTTGGTCAGGGTTCAAACAGATATGGAACACAAACATTGAAGGACTTTTCAAGGCCAGCTGTCATTTTCAAGGCTTTTTAAGTTGGGTTATTATTATTAGCCTTGGTCCAACATACTCTGTATTAGTTGTAAGACCTAAAAAGGAGTGTTACCATCACACATTTTTCAACAAGTTTTATTTTTCACCCAACAAAAGAATATATTATATCTGTCATGAATTCTTCAAGGTCTTTGGCATACAAATCTATCACTGATAAATCTCATTTCATCTTTTGGTACATATTTTTTATGTGTTTTAATACTTTGATTAACAAGTATATATCATTTTGTACAAATTCAAGGCTCTTCAAGCTATTTTGGTGATTTTCAAGGCTTTCAAAGTAGACTTGACGAATCAAGGATTTTCAAGAGGGACCTTACAATTTAAGGCTTTTTCAAGCCAGTATGGAGCCTGTTAATAAAAATTAGACACTGTTGGTACAGTGATATTGTACTTGAGTTTTCATGTTGTCATCTCACCCAGTATATATGGGCTGATGTTCATCCAATCAGCCTGAGGCTTAATGATTCCATCTGTGACCTGATTGATGCTGTGTCATCACACCCTGTAAATAGGGATCATTCATAGGCATGGCACCTCCTGACGCCTTGCTCATTCTTAACTTTAAAGCTGTCACCCTCCAGCCCCCACTATCACTCCCTCCCTCCACCCTCCTCACTCACTCTTTCCTTCCAGCCTTCCCTCTCTCCCCACTCAATCTTTCGTCCCTCCCTCTATACTCTTTCCCTCCCTCCCTTTCTCACTCACTCTTCCCTTCCATCCTTCTCTCCCTCACTCTCAATCTTTCGTCCCTCCCTCTCTACTCTTTCCCTCCCTCTCTCACTCACTCTTTCCTTCCATCCTTCTCTCCCTCCCACACTCAATCTTGTATCCCTCATTCTCTACTCTTTCCCTCCCTCTCTCACTCTCTCTTTCCTTCCTTCCATCCCTCCCTCCCTCACTCATTCTTTCATCCCTCCCTCTCTCCCTCCCTCACTCATTCTTTCATCCCTCCCTCTCTCCCTCCCTCACTCAATCTTTCATCCCTCCCTCTCTCCCTCCCTCACTCAATCTTTCATCCCTCCCTCTCTCCCTCCCTCACTCAATCTTTCACCCCTCCCTCTCTACTCTTTCTCTCCCTCTCTCACTCATTCCTTCCTTCCATCCCTCTCTCCCTCCCACACTCAATCTTTCATCCCTCCATCTCTACTCTTTCCTTCCCTCTCTCATTCTCTCTTTCCTTACATCTCTCTATCCCTCTCTCACTCACTCTTTCCTTCCTTCCATCCCCTCTCCCTCCCTCTCTACTCTTTCCCTCCCTCTCTACTCTTTCCCTCCCTCTCTCACTCACTCTTTCCTTCCTTCCATCCCCTCTCCCTCCCTCATTCTCTTTCCTTACATCTCCCTCTCCCTCTCTCACTCACTCTTTCCTTCCTTCCATCCCCTCTCCCTCCCTCATTCTTTCATCCCTCCCTCTCTACTCTTTCCCTCCCTCTCTCCCTCCCTCACTCATTCTTTCATCCCTCCCTCTCTACTCTTTCCCTCCCTCTCTCACTCATTCCATCACTCTTTCACTCCTTCCATCCCTCTCTCCCTTACTCACTCTTTCAATCCCTCCCCCACTCACCATTTCCTTCCTTCCTTCACTGACTCCCTCTACTGGTGTGTTGCAGGCTGCAGTGCCCAGTGACCAGGTGTCTGGGAGGTTCACACAGTACAGGAAGCTGGTGGGTATTCTCCAACATTTGTATCATGTTGATAACACTGAAATGAGTTGATTCATGTTAACCTGTCTTGTTTGATCGGTCACACACTGACAACAGAGGATGGCTAGAACTTGTATTGACAAAGTCCAGCGATGACCAGCTCATATCCTAAGATTGATTGTTTGTTTGTTGTTTAACGTCACACTCAGCAATATTCCAGCTATATGACGGCAGTATGTAAATAATCAAGTCTGCACCAGCCAATGCAGTGATTGACATCATGAGCATCGATCTTCGCAGTTAGGATATGATGACATGTCAGGACCGCCTCCGTGGTCTAGTGGGAGAGCGGAAAGTCACGGGTTCGATTCCCGGCCACGTCATACCAAAAGACATTAAAAGATGGTACTTGTTGTTACCCTGTCTGGGGCTCGGCATCAAGGAGCTAAAACAAGGACTGGTCGGCTCGGAGTCAGTATACCGTGTTTGAGTGGGGTATTCATGTTAAACTGCAGCATGGTATCTCAGTGGGTTAGCACTATAAATCGGCATCACCTCGCTATGTTATGTCAGCTAGCCTGACCACCTGATCCCCTTAGTCGCCTCTTACATCAAGCTTAGTCGTAGGTTGGTAAAGACCTGTTCTAACATGGATCTTCACGGGTCCATATCCTATGAGCATGGGAAGAACATGTACATAGATTTGAACATGAGATTCACAACATCAACATGGACGAAGCTTGTATGTGTAATAGTCAGCGCTGGTGTGTTTCTCAGAGTTTTTGAACTTCCGAAACAAGAGCAAGGGAAAATTACATGTGTGCTTCATGGAAATTTATAAATAATGCGCACGGGGTTTTAAAAGATGCAAAATATTGCATCTTCTTTTCAAAATATTCCGTCATCATTCAGAATTTGGGTGCCCATGTCATGATATAAGGAAGACTGACTGACTGAGTATGGTTTTACGCCGCTTTTAGCAATATTCCAGCAATATCACGGCGGGGGACACCAAAAATGGGCTTCACACATTGTACCCATGTCGGGAATCGAACCTGGGTCTTCGGCGTGACGAGCGAACGCTTTAACCACTAGGCTACCCGACCGCCCGATATAAGGAAGAGTAAAATAGTGTGGACACTATAATTTGACAAATATTCATATTTTGTGAATAGGTTTCAAACTTTCAATTACTTTTTGAGTTTTAATGCGGACCTGCAAGTGTTATGTTGAGAAAAACATGTCTGTTCCTTCATGGAAACCTTGCTAGAGTACGAAAGGTGTTCGGAAATAGGTGACGTCACTCGAGTGCAGCGGAAGTTTATAGACGAGGTAATGGCGGTCACTTCTTTTATCAAGGATTTGTTTTCTTTCGGAATGTAGCTGAATTCTATTGTTGAAAACATCACCTACTGGTATGAAGCAGAATTTGAGTTTTGATTCCCTCATCCCTTGAAATATAGGCAATGCCATCATAACTGTTCGAATTAGGGTACATCAGGATATACCATAAGAGTCCTGTATGCCATAAACACTAACTGTGTGGCTTGAACTCCTCACAGTGTCAGCGGCGTGTGGCGGAGTTGGAGGAACAGCTGCAGCTGACCCAGGCCAAGACCCAGCGGAAGGTCAGCACACTGAAGGCCCAGTTCCAGGAACACAAGGCCAAGTGGGAGGCCGTGAGTCTTTGTTTTGTTTGTTGGTTTGTTTGTTTGAAGTCATTTTTTTCTGCCACCTTTTTAATCGTAGAATGTGTTCATTTAACTTCTGGCTAAATGTGACAATAATTGCCAACACCTGAAGGAATGATGTAAATCCTGCTGGGGTCCATGCAGGTAGCAAAGATACTGTAAGTCCCCATGGACCCTAGCATGTGATCTACCTTCAGCTGCTGGAGATCTATAACCCTTTTTTATTATGTATTGTTACATATAGTGATATCTTTTGATGGGTGTATGCTAGTTTTAAATATTAATCTGTGCTGCTCTAGTTATTTTATTGTCCATTGATGACAGGTTTTTATTTAATTTAAATGTATGTATATTCTTAATGTATAACTTCTCGTCACGATATGGCTGAAATATTGCCGATGTGACGTTAAGTATTAATTCACTCACTGTTTGATTGTGCCATTGCAAGGCCAATTAGAAAATATAGTTATTTTGTTCAAAATATTGGGATTTCTTTCAAATTCTTATTTTCTTAAATTCAGAGGTATTTTAACACTGTGTTTTTATATTGCTTTCAATGAAAGTATGTACACAAAGCATTAAAATCTCTTTCTTTTTATCGGTACTGTTATCAATGCAAGTCCTCAGCTCAGCCATAGCATTAGTTATTATGATATTAAAATGATTTTTGAAAATTTTATGTACCAATTTGACATTTAGTACCGATTTTGGCCTCTATATGGAACCAAGGTCATTTTGAGTTTCATAACATCAATGGTATAACACAGACAACACACACATGAGCTCTACTGTAGTAAATAGTGCACAGAAGCACTACGTCTTGCTTATTGCTACCAAAACAGGAAGTCATATGTATTCGACTGTTGTGAGCTTGAGGCAGGGGTCATCTGACCATTTAAGAGTGAGTATGGTTTTAGGCCGCTTTTAGTAATAATCAAGCAATATCGTGGCAGGGGAAACCAGAATTAGGCTTCACACATTGTATCCATGTGGGGAATTGAACCCGGGTCTTCAGCGCGACGAGCGAATGCTGTAACCACTAGGCTACCCAACGTCCATGACCATTTAGGAAGTCACGTGTATTTGACTCTTGTGAGCTTGAGACATGGGTCATATGACCATTTGGGGGCACGGGTGGCCCAGTCGTCTAAGGCACTGTGATTTGCTGTGCAGAGTTGCGTCCCTTGGGCACGCCAGAAACCTATGATTGTGGGTTTGAATCCTGGTTCGCCCCGATTATGTTTCTAGGTTTGTCAGCACCATACCTGTGCTCGTGGGTTTCACCGAAGTGGTAAACGTCTGAGACCTGCATCACTTCGGGCTTTCCTCCCACATTAAGCTTACACGCCGCGATATAACTGGAATACTGTTAAGCGATATTAAACCCAACTCACTCACTCACTCATATGGCCATTTAGGAAGCACATGCTACATGCTGGGGTCAACTCTTTGATGTGGATGGTGCAATGTTTGATTTCCAGGAGAGGAAGTTGCTGTTTGAGCAGGTGTCGCAGGCTCACAAGCTCCAGACGGAGGCCGAGAAGGAAGCAGATGCAGCCATGACACAACTGGAGGATTTCATCAATGAGCAAGAGAAACTGGTGAGAAGGGAAATAGGAACAGCGGCTTGTTTTGTGTATAATAAACATTTGTGCTATATAAAATGGAAAACAGATCGGTTCCAGATCAGGGCCTTGTACCACAAAGAGACCTCAGGGACCGACCGTTTGATATTTTGGAGGTTGGGGGTTTTATTAAAAAAAAAAGATAGAAAATTCTTGAAAAAAATATTCATGCTTTATACTGTTGAAAAAAAAAGAAATTCCCTTCCACCAATGTTACATTGTAGCAAGATGTTTGTCTTTAAGGATGAGTTACACCTTTAAGTTGGGTAGTTGAGATGGATGGCGGAGGTACACCTTTATGGGTGGTAGAGGTTGATAGGAGGGGTACACCTTTAAGATAGGTGGTAGAGCTGGATGGGAGGGGTACACATTTAAGATGGGCTTTAGAGGTTAATGGGAGGGGTACACATTTAAGAGGGTTTTTTTCTGTCTTGCAGCACATGGCGGTTACTGAGCGATAAGTTACTGAGCACATTAAAAAAATCATTTCAGGAGCTTGATGAAGAGTCAAAGAGACAGGGAATCCTGGGAAAGACTGACACCGTTGCTATGGAAGCCAAGGCAACTGCTGCCAAGAAACAGGGGGAGTCAACAACAGATGGAGCGATGGCAGCCCAGCCCGCCAGGTCTGAGGACACAGAGCATGACCTAAGGACACTCCTTCAACAGACTGATGATGCTAAGGTAAGGGAGAGCACTCTGATGTCAGTCAGGTAGCAGGGGAGAGTACTCTATTGTCCGTAACGCAGTAGGGGAGATTACTCTATCGTCAGTCAGGTATCAGTTGAGAAAACTCAATTTTCAGCATGGCAGCAGGGGAGAGTACTCAATTGTTAGTCAGGTATCGGGGGAGAGTACTCTGTTATCCGTAAAGCAGCAGGGGAGAGTACTCAATTGTCAGTCAGGTATCAGGGGAGAGTACTCTATCATCAGTAAGGCAGCAGGGGAGATTACTCTGTAGTCAGCCAGGTATCAGGGGAGAGTACTCTATTGTCCGTAAGGCAGCAGGGGAGAGAACTCTGTTGTCAATAAGGTATGGGGGAAAGTACTCTATCATCAGTAAGGCATTACAGGAGAGTACTCTATTGTCCATAAGGCAGCAGGGGAGAGTACTCTATTGTCTGTAAGGCAGCAGGGGAGAGTACTCAATCACCAATCAGGTAGCAGGGAAAGTACTCTATCATCAATCAGGTAGCAGGGGAGAGTACTCTGTCTTCAGTCCGGCAGCAAGGGTGAACTGTGGGAATGAGCTCTAGTCAGAGAGAAGGTGTGTACAGTTGGATAAGATTGGCAGGTGGTGTATAGTGTGAGAGACCATTCCATTCAGGTAGCAGGCGTGTAAAGTTGGAGAGTTTCATTCATGCAGCAGCTAGGGGTGTAAAATGAGAGAGTAGTGTTAGAGGGAGGCTATGTTAAGTAAGAGAGCTCTATTCAGGGTTGCAGGGAATGAAAGTAGAAGTGTACTGGAGACAGGTGTAAAATTGGAGAGAGCTCCATCTATCGAAAATCAGATTATCAGTTGTCAAAGAATCCCATGTTAAAACAAGAAATGAACCTTTGTGCTGCATCAGCAAGGTGAACCAGTGACATCAGAGTCCAGAAAGTCCAGTGTGGTCAGCTCCATGGACTCAGTGTTACAGGTGAAGAGGCCCTATGGAGACAGGGTCGCTCAGCCTGGTGACCATACACTCCTTGGCAAAATCAATGTTGAGAACCGGGCTCCTGACAGTCACATTCGGACAGCTGTTGTACATCAAGAAATAACGCATGGTGGAATCATTACAAAGTTGCTGACCCCTCACAATGCAGTGATTCAGGTGCTGACTCCGGAAGAAACTCTTGTGGATCCTGTGAAAGATGTGCAAAGGAAGACAACTGCATTTTTGCTCTCTGAAAGGGGAATAACTCATGCCGATGCTGTGTCAGAAATCACACTGGATGAGGGATATTCCACTGTGCCTGATTGGCATGACGACTCAGTGGCTGAATATCAGAAAGAAGTGATCAGTTCGGATGGCCTTGATGAAGGGGAGATTACTCAGGGAGGCCAAGAGGAAGCAACTCTCATTGATCCTGATAGTATCTCACTTGAATTTGCTGCACCAGAAAAGGTTACCATGAGTTGTCGTTGATGTGAATTTGACCTTGGAGTGTGGATATCTGTGTTGTTGAACAAGCACCAATAATTCACCAAGTTTTATAATGAGCAACATGTGCACAGTTATGTTTGAGTGAATGCACACACGGCCAGGTACTGTTTCAATGATATGTGTCATACATGCACAATTTAATCTAACCTCTGAATGTCTTTCCATTACATGTGTGATGCTGCAGTCCATTATTCAACTGCTACCATCTTAATATTTCCTTACTCATTTTAGTTTGTAAAGTTGCAACATACAATCATTCACAACATATTGCATTCTCTTCATTATCGATATTAAAATTTCTGTATTTACAGTTGATTGGTACTGATAAAAGTCATTTTTGAATTAATGTTATACTGATAAATGTCATTTTGAATTAATGTTATACAGATAAATGTCATTTGGAATTAATGTTATACTGATAAATGTCATTTTGAATTAATGTTATACTGATAAATGTCATTTTGAATTAATGTTATACAGATACCGTATATGACCGCGTATAAGCCGAATTTTGAGGACCAGAAAAAAGATTCTGTAGAAAGGGGTCGGCTTATCCACGGGATACACTTTCATGATAGTATTTATCAGACCGTGATCTGTCAAAAACATCGCCTGAATGACGGTCCGTTAGATCACAACTTCCCGAAAGTTTGGAAGTTGCCACGACTAGAGCCATTATTGTTATAAATTATCAATAAAGTTATTATTATACACCAATGTTGTCATTATTAAAAAAATGTTATGCATGTTACTACTTCCGATAATAAGTTTTCAATTGAATGTTCAAAGTTTATCGTTCTTCGTAAACTCTGCGATCTTTACATGTAACAATATATGTAATTCACAGCTATAATATATAATCCCCAGATGAAATCGCCAATAGCTATTACGTACGTTTTGCAAAGTTCATAAATTGATAGTGAACAAGTGTCTACCTTTATTGAAAGAGGCAAATAAACAACTGTATCGGCGAGTTATTCCGTTCGCCATTTGCAAAAACATGTGATCAGCTGTTTCCTGTGACGTCACAAACGGTGACCACTGTGATTGCTTCCTGTTGTTTAAAGCAACACGGTACACAAGGAAATGAGCATTGATAATAACGGGCCGATTGGTATTGTCATGTTGTTTACACAAACAATTTCAAGTTGTGGGTGCTTAGCGATCGTGTTGGGAGTAGGGGCTTAATTCCTTTGTTTTCGAGAGATTAGTTTAATAAACTGGTGAAGCCTGTGAGTAAGTGATGGTCATTCAATGTGTTCATAGTATGATAGTTTATTTAATTCAATTGGATTAACATACAATAGTGGTGTAAAGGGGGTTATTAAAGTTGGTATATTTTTACTGACTGACATTCTCATCATGAGTTTGAAACGAAAACGCCATGCTTACGATGCTGAATTCAAACTGCGAGTCTTCGCTCTAGCCGATATATTTTCTCACGGGTTCATAATTCTATATACACCGATTCACAAAATGGCGCTTCGTTGTTGATGGCAACATATAACGATCATTAAAAAAACCACGAGAAACAGCTTCCCACATTATGAAAGTGGATGACTGGTTTGTTAAATCTTTATTAGAAATAATAATGACTTTTTCAATATAATTACAACGTTTTTCATCTTATATTTTTGAATATCTGCGAGTACCGGCACATGTCTTGCAGTCCGACTTCGCAGTGTTTTTTGCCTTTAAATTCCGGTTCGGCTTATCTGCGGGTCATACCATTTTCTTTAGTATTTCAATGGTCAAGTTAACACCTCGGCTTATCTACGGGGTCGGCTTATCCGCGGTCATATACGGTAAATGTCATTTGGAATTAATGTTATACTGACAAATGTCATTTGGAATTAATGTTATACAGATAAATGTCATTTGGAATTAATGTTATACTGATAAATGTCATTTGGAATTAATGTTATACTGATAAATGTCATTTGGAATTAATGTTAGTGTTGCAATCCATAATTGTCCACATCCCAGGTCAGAGTTAGTCCCCAGCAATGGGTGCTTGTCTTCATAGGTGACCCATATCCTGGATTGTTAAACTGACTTTATTAATCACTGGATTGTTTGGTCCACAATCCTGCTGAGTTCGGCATTAAACAAAGTAATTGTCCAGAATGTGAAGTGTCCAGAATAATCAGGTTTTACTGTAGTAACTTCTTGCACAGACCCATTAAGATGCAGTTCGAAATTGGTCTTCAGCATCCCATGTTGTCGTAAGAGGCGATTAACGGGATCGGATGGTCAGGTTCGCTGACTTCATTGATGCAGCTTATGGTATCCCAATTGCCTAGATAAATACTCATGTCAATCACTGGATTATCTGGCCAAGACTCGATTGTCGAATATTTACCGACTGCCGTCATATAGCTGGAATATTGCTGAGTGCGGCATTAAACAACAGCCAAATGAAACTATCACAGAACATAGTGAAGCACTAAATGTGTGTGTTGTTTACCAGGTCCAGGAGCTGAATTCCAGGATGACTACATCAGGAGCCATGTCGGCTCCACCTGCTGTTGAGGACGATGAAGTGGAGCCTGCAGACAAGGTGAGCTTTGGTCCTTCTGGAGATTCAGAAAGTCATTTTGATCATTCTCTTTCAGACTTTCATTAGTGCTACAGAATATGTTGTGGTTCTGATGCCTTGGAGTTCTTATTTCCTTTCAACTGCAGTCTGCCAAAACTGTTGTCCACTGACCTGAACATATTCTTACGAATCTTTCTTTTAGTAGACTTTATTCATATACTGTATAGGCTGCCTTAGACGGAAGAGTGAGTGAGTGAGTGAGTATGGTTTTACACCGCCTTTAGCAATTTGCAGCAATATCACGGCGGGGGACACCAGAAATTGGCTTCACACATTGTACCCATGTCGGGAATCGAACTCGGGTCATCGGCGTGACGAGCGAAAGCTTTAACCACTTGGCTACCCGACAGCCCCTGATGATGGAAGGAAAGAAGAGGGTAGTAGTACAGCATATTACAAATGTCAAAGTTTAAAGATTCAGAAAGTGGTAAAAAGTAGAAAGTTGTTGGACATATCTAGATGGCTTGCCTTTTCCTTTCTTATACTGATAAGATGATAATGAAATGCAATGAGTATTACTGAAATGAGTGAAGAGGTGTTTTTTTCTGTGTACAAATTGGTTACCCAGGACAATTTATACTGTCTTTATCTAAATCTCCTAAAATATCAGCTTGTGTCAAGGACTCCATATATATTGGGAAAGTGCTTGCCCAAATGCTATTTGTTTTTAAACGTTATGGCAAACAAATAAAGTTGTTCAAATATGCACAAACAGGAATCCTCATGAAGTATTTAGCTTGTGTATGCCAGACCTCACCACTTACAAACAATACTCAGAACCACCACATATTAGGTCTTTGAATGGCATTTAGAAGTGATACACATAAGGAAGAGAATTTATGGATGTCAACTTCTTTATTATGAGGAAACGCAACGTTTCGGAGTATATGCTTACTCCTTCATCATGTGAATGAATGATGAAGGAGTAAGCATATACTCCGAAACATTGTGGGTGGTCGGGTAGCCTAGTGGTTAAAGCATTCGCTCGTCACGCCGAAGACCCGGGTTCGATTCCCGACATGGGTACAATGTGTGAAGCCCAATTCTGGTGTCCCCCGCCATGATATTGCTGGAATATTGCTAAAAGCGGCGTAAAACCATACTCACTCACTCACTCACTCACTCCGAAACATTGTGTCACCACATATTAGGTTATCATCTTGACTCTTGTTGATGGTCTTTGGCACAAAATCTCTATCTGCATTGTAACAAATGTTATATTTGGGTTTACACTAGTGTGGGTTCAAATCCCAGATGGGACTCAACCCAAAAAAGTACAAGAATTTGTACATTACTGAGAAATTGTAATCCCAGATATAACATTTGTTACATCTGACCACTTTCTGAAAGGCATTGTATTTTCTATCTGCATTGTTAAACCAAGGTTTTCATGCATGTTGTACAAAGCAAACTTTGATCATTACGTGTTTCCCCAACAAAGATTCCTCTCAAGCTTGACACAAAGGAGCCAGCACCTAGAACCAAGCAGGTAGGCCTGGAGAATCACCTGGAGGAGCTGGTTTGCCCGCTGGGACTGTCTCTGAAGCATGAGCTCAGTACCGTGGAGGAACTCTTTGACCACATGTATTCTGAGCAGACTCTTGGATCTGACAAGACAGAAAGAATTAAGGAGGTTCCCGATATTGTAGTGAACTCTGCCTTCCACCGTAAGCACATGGCTCCAGGTCTCTACAACCAGGACAGTCTAACAGTGCCCAAGTTGAACCTACCTAATGCTTCATCTGGATCTAGTAAATATTTGGGTCAGAATATGTTGGGGAATATGTTGGAAAATATGTCTGATTCAAAGGTGAGAATTTGTAGGATTCCGTCTGAAGTTGTCCAGAAGACATCCAAGGGTGTGCCTATAACAGGGGTACAGGTCATTGTGACTCCAGTAACCAAGATGCTTCACTCTGTCCGGGCAAAGGAGGTCGTGGCGGACATGATGAATGAAGACGCGATTGATGGACAGACAGGAAGTCTGGTATCAGATGAGAAGAAAGCTGTGGAGAGTGTCTGCGATGGTTCCCGTCAACATCATGCAACAGGCTCAGGAAATTTAGAAGAGAAAAAAACTGACAGTTTGGATCACGAAAATTTGCAAATTGTAAAAAATACAGATGCAAAGATTGTTGACGAGGATTCAAGAAATCTGATTGGTCATGACCACCATACAGACACTGACATTAATGAGAGGGTTAGTTCAGATAATAAACATGAGGGTAAGAAAAGTGATGAAAATGATGTAATCGATGAGACCTTCAAAGAATTGGAGGAGAGTGACCATATAGATCCATCCAATCACCATCTGTATCCTAACATGGATGGACAACAATACCAGAGTGAGATTATCTTAATTGATGGTTTTCCATACATTGTACAAAGAAGACACTCGCCAGAAGACAAAAAGGATGAGTTGGTTACAAATATGAATTATTATGATTCAGGAATTGATGCCACTGATGTTGATAATAGTAGCTCCACATTGGAAATAGTGGATGACAAATCACAAGACCTTTCGCCGAAGAGTTCTTGGAGCGAACTGGAGGCAAACCGAGGCTTCAGTAGCGTGTTAGAGAGTCAGCACACCAAATCCTTACCTCCAAGCCAGCAGATTACCGTGAAGAACCTCAAGAAGATGATGACTCAGACATCAGTTGTGGAAAAGCAGGACAAGCTTCTTGAGATGGTCCGAGTATTTGTCCAGTCTTTCACAGCAGGTCAGGACTTGACCGATGACCAGAAGGTTCGGACCAGCACACTTGTTGCCCTGGCAACCCTGATGGTGATGGAGGAGAATGAGCTGGGGTTGTCCAGTGGGAAGGTGCTGAGCATGTTTGGGAGGCTGATGTCCGAGGATCTGGATGCTCTGGTTGCGGGATTCCGCGAGGAGCTGGACTGTGGGGAAGAAGCTGCTTCTCTGTCCGACCTGTATGGAGACGAGGTTGGTGGAGTGTTCAAGTGCACAGTTTGGAAGTCCCTTCACTCGTTTGTACAAGATTGAGACACTGTTTTGAAGGATTTTGTGTGCTGTTTGATTTCCTGCATGTCACTTGAAGTACCAACATCGTTCACCTCACATTGAAAATGGTCACTGTATTGATTGTTTTTGTTTATATTAACAATGTTGCATTATTCAAAGCATTTTTTGAAATCTGAAGCACTGAACTTTTAATACCGTATTCGACGTAATAAGCGCCCAGGGCGCTCTCAAAATTAGAAAGAAGGGGCTCTTATTAGAATATGATTTTGGTGAAAAAAAGAGTTGAAAGATAAATTTCGAGGTTTATGCTGACAGCCTGAAATGTTTATGTATGACAGATATATTTTTCCAGAATTTAATTGCCCATAATTGAGGATGCATATAACACACGATTCCGTTTTATACGCGAAAAAATAAGTATTGTGTACATTGATCAATCGGAAGGGGTGCTAATTTGGATTGTTCACCAGCCAATATATTAGCAAATATCCCTGTGGGCGCTTATTAGAGCGGGGCGCTTATTACGTCGAATACGGTATATTCCTTTAAACTGAACACTAGTGGATGAGATCCACATGTTCTTTCTCATACGAGACACCTGTTTACATTTTGCAGCTGGTGTGGTGCCCATGTCAGTTCTAGGTCTCTGTAGACACACGATACATTTTTTGCATCAATGAGCTTGAGTTATGTTTGTGGGGCTCAGCTCTACTTGCTAATTTGCCCAATCCTAGTGGTCTTTGTCTTAAGAATCCAACCTTGATCATAACATAAGTTAGGTGTAGGGGATTTTATGAGCTGAATGGGGTTGTCCTCTACGAGAACTAAGGACGTTGAGCTCGTTTCATCCTGTAACCCCACGAGTGACATGTAACAAGTTTATCATTACATGTACACAAATACAGAGATTTATTTTTGGTGAATTATGTTTGTTTGAAATATATGATCTTTTGTACGACGTCATTGGGTTCGGCATGGTAACTCAAATGTGAACAGGGTCCGTCATGAAGAGACAAGCTTATGACGTCATATGAAACACTATGACGTCATGATGTCTAGCGAATGATATATTTTTTGGGGGAAAACCTGAGAACAATTTAATATTTTCTTGAACAAATCTTTTCATCCCCAGCAACACGTTTAGCAGGGGTATTAATATGAACACAGTGCATCCATCTGTCCATCTGTGCAAGATGTCATTTCCAGAGCAGATTCTTGAAAACCGTTCAGTATTTCTTAACCAAACTTGGTACATAGATAGGTCTTGTGGTAAACTGGTGGCTTTTGATAGTTTGGGATTTTCGAAAAAATAATGAGTTTCCATGGCAATAAGTTTAACTTTGCCTGGAAATGGTGGTAGTGCTCCTTACCATAGCAGAACTTGAAAACTGTACAATATTTCTTCATGAAACTTAGCACACAGATAGGTCTAGCAGTGAACTGGTGCCTTAGTTTTGAAATTTCAAAAAAAAAATTGTTTTGAGTTGTGCCTGTTTCCGGAGCAGATCCTACAAAATGTGCAATATTTATTTCACTAAACTTAGCTCAAAGATATGTTTAGTGGTGAACTTGTGCCTTTTGATTAAAATGAATTTTTCAAGTATTTACCATTGCGGGGGACATTGATGTATCTTGTGTATTCAAACTACTTGACATTCTATTTGTATTTGTGATGCACATGATTTCCCCTAATTCTCTGTTTCTACATCAGCATTTGTCATTTTCAAAATACACTGTCCAATATATTTCCAATTTCCCTCTCCCTTCCCTTGAATTAAACGCAAAGTTTCTTGCTAACAAACAGACTTCAGAAACTGCCGTCACTCCAACTGAGGTTGGCCCGATAGAACCTGATGTGGCAGCTGAAGCATCACCTGCTTCACATGACGATGGCCCGGAACCCGAACCTCAAGATCTAGAAAATATAAAAAGTCAGAAATCTTTCTCGAGTGCTGGCTCTCGCAAATCAGCTGTGACTACACCATCTGTTAAATCTACAAGGTCCAAAAAATCAGTTCAGGCAAGATCTGACCACACTGACCCAGATCAAACTAGCCTAGAACTGCCTAAATCTGGACCAGTTAGCCGTGCATCGCAAACGTCTTCAGGGAAAACTTCAAAAAGATTGACACCTAGCACTGACTTAAGGCGAGAAACTTCATCTATCTCAGCTACTAGTGGTCTGCGAAGTTCACTTGAGGTTCCTCAGGTATTATCTCCCTTGAGGCTAGAGAGTTGTCTCCCTGTATAACCCAATGGTGGCAGTGACGTACATATATTTTCACCATTATGTACCACATTAATTTGTGTGTTGCACTGATTTTATGATTTTTGCATGCACTTTATGTTTAACATTTTAGTTGGAGAAAAAGCTTTTTTTTCAGTTGTAGACGTGCCCAGTGTATTGCAACAGAATATTTTCAAATGTATTTTGAAGAGCAGTGAAAACCCTTTTGACAATTCTTCTTCATGAACTCTGTGCTATAATACCTATTGTGTTCTGTTGGTTTTTGCCGCATGTCCAAATACAGCAATACAAAAATAATCCTGATTTGCGTAAGGCAAAATTCCTGAGAGCCTTTTTTTTTCAACCTTTGCTGTAACACTAAAAAGAAAGGCGAGCAGCTTTTGAATGAAGGATTTTTTAGTTGTTTTTTGTTGTTGTTGTGATTTGGAAGTTATTGTTCAAATCACTTAACTGCTAAACATTTAAACTCTACAAACAGTGTGTAGAACGGCCCTGGATGATATGACGTAGTACATAGCACAGGTAACAAAAACAAAAACTTTCAAAACATATTAAAAATATTCTGTACGAATTATTTGCATGCTGCATATTAGATACATTAATGCTGCAAAATTTATTTCAGATTGTGATCTAACTGCATGAATACATATAGCTGTATTACATCCTTAGCAATATAATATGTTTGATTTATGCATGATGTCAAATTGTTTGCTTTATCCTATACCCCTAATGTTGTACCAGTTAGGGAAAGATGATATTCTGCCTATCATATATGCTTTTATACCTATTGCAATGCTGCTCATACACTAATGATTAATAGGATTGTTTATCACTGATAAAACAAGCTAATGTTTCACATGAATTAGCATATTTTGTAGTTTTATAAATTTGAGTACATATTTTCATATATTGTTTAAAGTCATTATTATTCATTGAGTCTGGATCAGTAAACAAGACTATAAGGCTTATGTTAATATCTCTCCAAATAAATATTGTGGATACGAAGTGATTTTAGGAATGAAACTATTATTAAGACCTAAACGTTTGCCCTTAAGGCGACATTTTTGTTATTTCCTATGTTACGGATTTCAAACTCATTTCAAAATTGAGGTAGGCAACTTAAAATAAAAACCTCACAGATTTTGTTTTACTTGACTTTTTTCCTAAAAAGTTGGGTAGGTATAAAAAAAAATATTCTGGAGTAACAAAGTGGCAATATAACGATATTCATGTCATATTCATGTGACTTACCTTTGCTTTTCACTCGACGAGGAAAAGATATCTATTTTTGTTTGAATTTTTATGCATTTTTTAGGTAAAGCAGCATTGATGAAAAAAGTAGTAATTTGTATTTTTATATTTTTTCAACATTTGGACTTTGACGCATCCGTAAAACAATAAAATGTTGCACAGACACAGACCATAATGCTGCACCCTTTGAATGAAAATATGGAGCAGGTTTGGAAGATTCAGATATAATTTATCCCTGTTTGAAATGATGATGATACTGTTAGACTATGCTGATGGTGAACGGTATATTCAGCTTGTTTATGCCATGTGTGTTTCACAGTCACCGGGTAAGGTAGATGTGACCGCTGAGGAAGACATTCGAGCATCGTCAGCACGTAGCAGGGCCTCGCTTCGGAATCAGTTCCGCCAAAAGTTGGTGGAAACGAAAAAAGTTGTGGATGAAAGACGGACAAAGTCCCCGGGAATGGTGCTGCCAACCCCACGGTCCATGGAGGAAGATACTCTTCATCTCGATGATGAAGATGATGTTACTCTACCGGACGACCTGAAAGGTTAGTGGTGGATGCTAGGGGTGCACGATATAACAGATATATCGGTAAACGGAGGTTCACTCTTTCAACGTAACGTATCACAATATTTTATTTTAATGCTTGGTATATCAGTTGATTTTAGATAGCAGTATTTATCGTGTGTTTATTGTTATACACTTGCCAAATACCTGGGGCTTGCACCTGGAGTGTGCATCCAGAGCATGCATCCGGAGCATGCATCCTTGTATATTTATTAAACAATCTCATTAGAATCAGATCTTAGTTTTCGCTACCGCTAAACAAACGACCTTTTGCGAATTTTGACCGACCAGTGAAATGACTGACAAGAAATTGACATCAGCCAATCAGAAGGCAGCTTTCTCGAGCTTTACGACACTAGTTTCAAACTGGCGACTATGCTTCGAAACATATTTTGACGTATTCTCGATTAAAAAAAATTATAACTGATAAGAAGAACAGTCTGGAATGGCTTATAAATGGTCTAAAATGTATGGATATAATCATAAAACCCGTATCTGTCGTTCAGAATACCCCGTGTTAAATATGTCGTGGTTGCATGATTAGAAAACACATTTTGACTGTCACTTTCATGATCTGGTAAGCGATGCTCTGATTGGTTGGATGAAAGGTCGTTCTGACGTGACCCTTAATGGAATTTCCTCAGATCTTTGTTTAGCATAGCTAGCTAAGATCTGATTTTAATGAGATTGTTTATTGAATGAATATTCCATATTTTGGAAGATTTTTCGAATTCTGGTATCATGCTCAGAAAAATATGACATCGTACGTCTTCAGCAAATTCAGGTACAAAAAACTTGGTTTGGTACAAATTTGAAATCTGAGGTAAAAAATCACTGAACATGTTGATTTACTGTTCAAATTGTTTTTCTTGTTCTGCCAGGCATTGTTTTACATGCAGAGGTTAATATTACTGTGTGTATTTTCTCGTAAACTAAGCTTGAAACAGCAATCAGCTGTACCGTACACGCGTTTTCTCCCAATCTACCAGTATAGTTAAGAATTACCCAGTGATATAACTTCAAGAAATTTGATGCAGTGATTTTTCCGGAAGAATTGTATCTGAAACTTTGTTTATTAGGAATAATATATTCCAGTATCATCTTATTTTAGTTGCAGCTTTTACTATATATATATTTAAAACATAAGCATAGCACATTGACACAGCTGATCACTATTGCCGAATATTTGTGTGGAACAGTTTGACCTGTCATCGTCGAGGCTCGCGATCGTGAAAACTTTATGTTGACATAAAATAGTCAAAAACTACAAGTGTGTCTTTTGAAGAGTCAAAGAGTCAGAGCTTTACGGCACTCGTTTCAACCTGGCGACTTCTATTTCAGACTACGCTTGAAAGATATGTTGACACAGTTCTCGATTAAAATTTTGAAAACTGAACAAAAGAACATTCCGGAATACCTAATATATGGTTGCAATTGTATGGCAGTGCTTCCCAAGTACTGTGCAACGCCTCCTCTGCTCAAATGTTTATCCCACCAGGCGAGAGATAGATAGATTATTTTAACGGAAACAGTCGTACGGGCCGTAACAGTCGTTCGGAATACCCCGTGTTAACCTTTTCAAGGTTGTATGATTAGAAAACACATTCCGACTGTCACTTTCACGATCTGGTAAGCGACGTGTTGATTGGTCGGATGAAAGATCGTTCTGACGTGACCCGTAATGGGATGTCCCTAGATCTTTGTTCAGCGATAATGAGATTGTAAATAATGTTGAGCTGTGTGATCACTTCAAGCCGAAAGTTTTTGAACAATATTGAATGAAATTTTGAATAAAATGAATAAAGTAGATTACAAACATTACGGCGTACCAGCATCTTTATTTGTTTCCTGTGTGAACTTCATTTCATACGCTGGTGTTTTAAAATTTAGATTTATTCAATATACATTGTGATAGGTATCGCAATTCAATCTTGTGCATTGTAAAATACTGGATACACCTTAAACATCCATTACCCATCCCTATAGTCGATGATGCCCATCTAAGTTTAGTGTATCTCTTCAAGTGACAGCAGATTTAGGACAGCTATCATTGAAGTAAATATAGGTACCCATAAATTAGTGTGATGTAACAGAGTGATGTTACAGTGCGATGTTACAGTGCGATGTTACAATGCGATGTTACAACGTCTTATTTTCTCTCTCTCAGAGGAGTACAGACACAAGACACTGGACATCGGGACGTCACCTCCACCCGGGATGAAGAGGGACGACACACTCGTCAGCATCACAGATGCCAGGTGAGCCTGGAGCATACACATGGCGACAACTTACAAGCTGCTGTTATATTGCTCACTCACTCACTCACTCACTCACTCACTCACTCACATATTCACTCACTAACTCACTCACCCACATATCCACTAACTTACTCACCTAACCACTCACTCACCTAACCACTCACTCACCCACATATCCACTCACTCATCCACTCACTCACTCCCTCACCCACATATCCACACACTCACTAATTCACTCACTAACTCACACACCCACATGTCCACTCACTCACTCTAAAACCCACATATCCACTCACTCACCCAGTCATCTACTCACTCACCCACCCACATATCCACTCACTCACTCACTCACTCACTCACTCACCAACATATCCACTCACTCACTCACCTACCCACTCACTCACCCACATATCCACTCACTCACCCACATATCCACTCACTCACTCACCCACATATCCACTAACTCAATCACCTACCCACTCACACCCACATATCCATTCACTCACTCACTCACCCACATATCCACTAACTCACTCACCTACCCACTCACTCACCTACCTACTCACAAACCCACATATCCATTCACTCACTCACTCACTCACTCACTCACTCACCCACATATCCACTCACTCACTCACTCACTCACCCACCCACCCACCTCCTCACTCACTCACTCACTCACTCACTCACTCACTCACTCACTGTTTCAGACAGACCCCCAGCCTGTGGGACCACCCTGTGGTCCAGGACTTTCTCCAGGTGTATGAAGGAGTGGTGCAGTTTAAAGACCAGCTCGGCAAAATCCTCATGGACAAAGGTAGCATGACTGCAGTACCTTTTTGTTGGATACTTTTCATTGATGCTTAATACCAATGTTTCCATGGCAACAGTAGTAACCATCCTTGGACAAAGGTATAAATCTTTCAAAAATGAATCGAGATCACATTCTATATTTTTATTTCAAGAATTTTAGGCCAGAATTATATATATGTAGAAGTATATTTTAACCCTAATTTGAGGATTTATTCCTGAGTTGTTCTCAAATTTTGGCCTTTCTCGTATTTTCAAAACATTTTTGTTAAAATAAAGTCATAATTACGATTCTGTTGAGGAACCTTTGACTTGGTTGTAATATATATATGTGACTTCAAAATGTATGGGGGGCACGGGTGGCCCAGTCATCTAAGGCGCAGCGATTCGCTGTGCAGAGTTGTGTCCCTTGGGCTCGCCAGAAACCTATGTTTGTGGGTTCGAATCCCGGTTCACCGCAATTATGTTTCTAGGTTTGTCAGCACCATACCCGTGCTCCTGGGTTTCACCGAAGTGGTAAACGTCTGTGACCTGCATCACTTGGGGCTTTCCTCCCCCATTTAGCTGACACACCGCGATATAACTGGAATACTGTTAAAAGCGGCGTTAAACACAACTCACTCACTCAAAATGTATGCATGCCTGCTTGGTGCTAGTGGTTGCAATTATTGCTGAGTTTGTGTGGAACTGTACTTGAGATACTTGAAACGAGCCATTAGGATCGAAAGGCAAGAAATACAAATGTATATTCAGCTTCGTTTTTATGAACTCTATCGTCTCTACACCTTGGTGTGTCATGTTTAATTTCAGAGCTGATGTCGGCCAGTCAGATTCTGTCAGATCTGGACGTTCTCCGGTTGGACAAATCTGTCAAAATACAACCCCAGATAAACAACATGGCACACAACATCTACTTCAGTAAGTCAGCCAGGGCTGTTTCCAGGCACCCAGTATAAGGCACACAACATCTACTTCAGTAAGTCAGCCAGGGCTGTATCCAGGCACCTAGTGTAAGGCACACAACATCTACTTCAGTCAGTCAGCTAGGGCTGTATCCAGGCACCTAGTGTAAGGCACACAACATCTACTTCAGTAAGTCAGCCAGGGCTGTATCCAGGCACCTAGTGTAAGGCACACAACATCTACTTCAGTCAGTCAGCTAGGGCTGTATCCAGGCACCTAGTGTAAGGCACACAACATCTACTTCAGTAAGTCAGCCAGGGCTGTATACAGGCACCCAGTTTAAGGCACACAACATCTACTTCAGTAAGTCAGCCAGGGCTGTATCCAGGCACCTAGTGTAAGGCACACAACATCTACTTCAGTCAGTCAGCCAGGGCTGTATCCAGGCACCTTGTGTAAGGCACACAACATCTACTTCAGTTAGTCAGCCATGGCTGTATCGAGATAACCCGTGAAGATCCGGGCAAGAATTGCCGTAACAGGCGACTTACGGGATCAGGTGGTCAGGCTCAATGACTTGGCTGATGCATGTTATCGTATTACATGAATCGATGGTCATGATGTCAATCACTTCATTGTCTGGTCCAGACCCAATTATTTACAGACCGCTGTTTATATAGCTGAAAATTTCTGAGTGCGGAAATAGCTGATATTGACATCAACAGTAAAACCTAACTGAGAGCAAGTGTGTCTCTGTACTCAGTATTGAATCTTTCATTTCAGTGCTGGAGGAAATAGGAAATCTCCTCAACAATATCCTGGTATATGATCGGGTGAGTGTGAAGTAGTGCTCAAGTCTCTAGCCTCCTCAGACCACCTCCATGGTTTAGTGGTAGAGCGTCCGCCCGGAGAGCGGAAAGTCCGGGGTTCGATCCCTGGCCGCGTCATACCAAAAGACGCAAAAAGATGGTACTTGTTGTTACCCTGCCTGGCGCTCGGCATTAAGGGGCTAAAACAAGGACTGGTCGGCTTGGAGTCAGTATACTGTGTCTCAGTGGGGTATTCATGTTAAACTGCGGCATGGTATCTCAGTGTGCTAGCACTATAAAATCGGCATCAGTCCTGACTAGTGCAAGCAGCTACCCACATGTGAATGCATGTCGCTATGTAAGTGGAATAATCTTGTACGCGATGTTAAACCCCATTTCACCTCACCTCGCCTCTAGCCTCCTCTCCCTGAGCAGGGGAACTGGTGGCCCAGGCATCTGAGGAGCTGCAAATGCTGTGCCTGAATCAAGTGATTGTGGACTCAAGTCATGTTTTACTCTGATTATGTTTCTCGGTTTGCTAGCGCCATACCCGTGCTCGTGGGTTCTAGTAAATAGGTAAACGTGTAAGACCTTCATCACTTTAGGGTTCTCTCCAACATCAAGCTGACATGCACAGATATCACTGGAATACTGTTCAAAGCAGCTTTAAACCAAACTCTATCCACAGAAAAAAACACAGTATGGACGCCCTTTAGGGCCATTTGTTTTTTTTGTTTTTTTCTTGAAATTTCAAGATACTAATATGAAATTTCAAGATACTAATTTGAAATTTCAAGACACTAAGTTGAAATTTTAAGATAAGGATCTTGAAATTTCAAGATAATAAGTTAAAAATTTCAGATCAATCCTTGAAATTTCAACTTACTATCTTGAAATTTCAAGATACCAAATTGAAATTTTAAGATGCTATGTTGAAATTTCAAAATACTTAGTTGAAATTTCAAGATGCCATGTTGAAATTTCCTTATACATAAGTTGAAATTTCAAGTTATAATCTTGAAATTTCAAGATCTTTATCTTGAAATTTCAACTTAGAATGTATCTTGAAATTTCAACTTTCCAGGGAAAAAAAGTAAAAAACCAAATGACCCTAAAAGGCTTCCATACCACAGTAACAGATTCTATGTTAACATGTTTACCAGGACCCTCCCGTGTCTTCCCTGAACATATCCCGCGACCCCACCAAAGGAACACTGACACACGAGGAGACCATGGACAGTGTGCAGCACGCCTTCCCCTCCACCAGGGGGAGCCAGCGGTCCCAGAGCAGCGACCAGAAGACTTCCTCTTCTGTCCGAGAGTTGCAAGAACAGTACGAGAGGCTGTAAGTAGACAGTGGCGATGTTTCATATTCTTGATATTTATTACCATATTTGGAACCAAGATCAGACAAGTTCTGATTCTTGATGAATGGATGTCCCTGGGTAGGACTGCACAGTATTAGGCTTAAAAAAAATGAAAGAATTGGTTCTCAGACAATGACTTTTGAAAATATAGTGCGGGCGGTGGTTGTTGTTTTTTGTTGGTTGTTCAAACTAGTGTGGAAAGAGATAAACAGTTGTGTACCATCAACCTGGGAAAGAGCCTCCCTCCCGAAACAAGCATACAAACTCCTATTGCCACCATTACCATAACACGAGATGTGCAGTAAAGCAGTGCGCATGTAAAGGGGGGTAACTGTGTGCTATATGAGATTGTATTGTTTTCAGGAAAAAGGATTTTTAATATTTTAAAAAAAATAAATATAAAATGAAACGTGCGGCATAATTAATGATAATGCGCTGGTGCCTGAGAACCAAGGTTATTATTTTTTTAGCCTTACCAGTATAGCAGTATACCGCAATCCACTTTTCATGCGATATATGTGGCAATATTTTATTCTGTGTTCCGGTATATTGGCTAAAATAAATATAACACATTTCGTTATAATTTGTATCATTTAACCTAAATCTACACAGAAATTCATTCACAAATGATGTTTCCCTTCAAAATTGATTGACAAAACGTGGAAACACCTAAGTTATTTTTATCTCACATTATCTCCCCTGTATCCATGACTACGTAATTGCTTCGTAAGAAGCAACTAACGGGATCGGGTGGTCAGGCTCGCTGACTTGGTTGATGCATGTGATCCTATCCCAATTGCATGGAACGATGCTCATGATGTCAATCACTGGATTGTCTGGTCCAGACTCGATTATTTACAGACAACCGTCATATAGCTGGAATATTGCTGAGTGCGGCATTAAACAAAGAAACAAGACAACAAATGTTTGGCCAATATAGAGTCCTATCCATTGGTAACCTCTGCTTTATAGTACAAGGTGACAACATTGATCCTTGAAGTGACATATTCCTGTTTATATCTTGTGATGATTGTATGTGGACAATGTTTGTTTTCCAGAAATGAACAGTTTGAAGAAGAGAGCAAGAAGCATGAAGAGCAGTTGAGGTAAGTCTTCAGCAGCAGCATTAGCATTGTGATCTTGAGTGCCTGCCCAGAGAGAAGGTCGGTGGCTGGATCCTCGGCCAGGTCATACCACCTCCACTTCTATAGTAAAAACATCCCGGCTCTGCACTGGTACATTATAAGAGTATCACTTCAATAAGGCGTAGACCTCCTTCCTGGTTTAGTGAATAGAGAGTCTCCGGCTGTATCATACCAAAAGAGGACCGCCTCCGTGGTCTAGTGGTAGAGCGTCCGCGCGGAGAGCGGAAGGTCCGGGGTGAGATCCCTGGCCACGTCATACCTAAAGACGTTAAAAAATGGTACTTGTTGTTACCCTGTCTGGCGCTCGGCATTAAGGGGCTAAAACAAGGACTGGTCGGCTCAGAGTCAGTATACTGTGTCTGAGTGGGGTATTCATGATAAACTGGGGCATGGTATCTCAGTGTGCTAGCACTATAAATCAGCATCAGTCCTGACTAGTACAAGCACACACATACACACATACACACGCACGCACGCACGCACGTCGCAATATAAGTGCAATAATCCTGGACGCGACATTAAACCCTATTTCACCTCACCTCACCATATACCGGTATATGGTCTCTGAGCGAATACAGCATTCATAGACATTAAACCCCATTTCACCTCACCTCATACCAAAAGACGGTAAAGGATGGTACTTGTTACCGGCGCTCAGCATTAAGGGGATAAAACAAGGTCTGGTTGGCTAGGAGTTAAGTATCCATGTTGAACTGCCATTGAAGCAGCACACAGACACACACACGCACACACGCACGCACACACGCACGCGCGCACAGAGCTCTCTCTTTATATAAGTGCATAATTTTGAACATGAAATTAAACCCCCATTTAATGTCACCTTACCTCATCATTATGACCATGTATGGTCCAGTCTCAATTTGCTGTTCAGAGTAGCTTCCCTTAGTTCTGCCAGAATCCGATGATTATGTGATGAAATCCCATTCACTCTGTCGATGATTCATGGTTTGTCACATTGATGCAGGGGGGTCAATGGCAAGCACCTGCAGGATGTGGAGCTTCCCTGCCAAACATTCACCTAGCATCATACAGTCTCACCCTGTAGTCATGCTGCTAATAACAGTGAAACTCTTAATGTACTCACTGAAAACTTGTGGTGTTGCTATTTTATTTCATAATTGCTGCATAAAAATGTAAATTAGAAAGTTTAGAAATTGCATATTTGAACTTACATTGTAATTTGTTCTGGTAAGATTGATTGTTCATGTGTGAGATTGGTTGTTCATGTGTGAGATTGCATGGTTGGTCATGTGTGAATCTGGTTGGTCATGTGTGAATCTGGTTGGTCATGTTGTGTGAATCTGGTTGGTCATGTTGTGTGAATCTGGTTGTCATGGTGTGTGAATCTGGTTGGTCATGGTGTGTGAATCTGGTTGGTCATGTTGTGTGAATCTGGTTGTCATGGTGTGTGAATCTGGTTGGTCATGGTGTGTGAATCTGGTTGGTCATGGTGTGTGAATCTGGTTGGTCATGTTGTGTGAATCTGGTTGTCATGGTGTGTGAATCTGGTTGGTCATGGTGTGTGAATCTGGTTGGTCATGGTGTGTGAATCTGGTTGGTCATGGTGTGTGAATCTGGTTGGTCATGTTGTGTGAATCTAGTTGGTCATGTGTGAATCTGGTTGGTCATGGTTTGTGAATCTGGTTGGTCATGTTGTGTGAATCTAGTTGGTCATGTGTGAATCTGGTTGATCGCTGTGTGTGAATCTTGTTGGTCATGTTGTGTGAGATTGCAGTATTATCATGTTGTGTTCCCTGACCACACTCACTCACTCACTCCAGGCACAACACCGTGGTCATGATGGAGATGCAGGACACTATCAATGACCTTCAGCGAGAGTTGTCTACCCTTGGTAAGACAGCCAAAAGATCAAGGTCAGCAACGCCAGTTCTGCAACAGGTAAGTTGAGCTCCTTTCTTGTATTTTATTTGAAGTCATAGCTACTGGAATTATTTTTTGTAGAGGTATTTGCACTGTCCATAATACTGCAAGGGAGTTTCAGTAGTTATGAGACCCTCGAAGATCCGGGGTAGAATAAATCTTCAGCAACCCATGGTTCCTGTAAAAGGCAATTATGATTGTCGTAAGAGACGACTAACAGGATCGGGTGGTCAGGCTCGTTGACTTGATTGATGCATGTCAGTGATTGCATATTGTTGTCTACAATTGTTTATGTTATGCTTAAATACGTTGTCCATTAAGTTCTTATTGTGGACTTAATTATGTATAAGAATATACTGAAACATATTTTTTCATTTATGGAGGTATTAACTTAAAAATTTTAAATTAAATGTCCTTAAATGCAAAATATATTCCCAAGTGAACAATTATGTATGTATATGTCTGACAGAGGTTGCAGCAGATACCATCTCCGGAGACATCAGTGATGTTCACAAGACTTGACTCCGAGAGGAACGCCAAAATCATGAAGAAAGCTGTGTTAGACGACCGACTTGGACCAGAGAGGTACAAGGTGAGGTCCAGGTCACAGAAGTGGAGTTATAGAATATTAGCTTAAATATGGTCTCGTACAGGCTTGTAAAAGCCTTGAATTATAATAAAGTCTCTCTTAAAAAAGCCTTGCTATTTAGTTTCAACCTTGAAAAGCCTTGACAATCACCAAAATGGCTTGAAAAGCTTGAACTTGTACAAAGTGACACATATTTGTTGATCAAAATATTAAAGCACACAAAAATACATGTATGTACCAAAGATGTTTAAGTGAGATTTATCACAGTGATAGATTTGTGTGCCAAAGACCCTAAAGAGTTCATGACAGAGTTAATTTATTTTTGTTGGATGAAAAATAAATCTTGTTTGAAAATGTGTGATGGTCGTACTGCTTTTAAGGCTAATAACCCACAATAACAGTTGTCAGCCTTGAAAAGCCTTGAAAAGCCTTGAAAAGGCCTTGAAGTTAAGTGTTCCATATGTGTATGAATACGTTCAAAGCTAAATAAACAGAGAAACTACAGTGCCAGACGATCATGCCTTGAATTGTTGCAATTGTAAAACATGATATTTAATCTTTGAATGGCATTTGGAAGTGGTTCACACAAGAGAGAAATTGTGGATGTAGACTTCTTTATTGTGAGGAACACAATGTCTCAGAGTATATGCTTCCTCTTTTATCAGGTGAGTGAGTGAGTGAGTTGGGTTTAACGCCGCTTTTAACAGTATCACAGTTATATCGCGGCGTGTCAGCTTAATGTGGGAGGAACGCCCGAAGTGATGCAGGTCTCAGACGTTTACCACTTCAGTGAAACCCACGAGCACGGGTATGGTGCTGACAAACCTAGAAACATAATTGGGGCGAACAAGGATTCGAACCCACAATCATAGGTTTCTGGCGAGCCCAAGGGACGCAACTCTGCACAGCGAATCGCGACGACTTAGACGACTGGCCACTCGTGCCCCCTCATCAGGTGAATGAGTTGAAGGATGAAGAAGTAAGCATATACCCTGAATTGTAGACTAACATCAACATATCTTACACACAAAAAAACAGTTTATAAATTATCTTAAAAAAAAATTAAGAAAAAGGAGCCCAGAGACTCTCTTCAATACTGCAGTAATCTGGACTTGCCAAACATTATAGACTTGCATAGGCTGTATTGGATATATTTGTATCAGGGTCTGTATGACAGACTATCCGAAACGATGTGTTCCTCATAATACAAAAGTTGACACATCCATAAATTCTGTCTCTTACTATAATTAGTGTGATCTGTACTGAACATGTTCAAAGGAGGCTTGTGGTTGCTTCTTGCATCCAAGCTCATCAGCATGTGACTTTCTGTGTAAACTGGCAATAAGCAATATGGAGATTGTGAGGTAATGAAGCTATGGCAGATCGGTCAAAGTTATCTATCATTGTAGAATGGAGGTTAGACTAACATCTAGTCTCTGAAATGAACATATCGTACAGAAAAAACAGTTGTTCAGTTATCTTAATAAAAATATAATAAAAGGGAGCCCAGTGACTCTCTTCATTTTCAGATACTGCAGTAATCTAGACTTGCCAAACATTATAGACTTGCATGGGCTGTATTTGATATATATTTGTATCAGGGTCTGTAAGACAGACCAAATGTAGGTGTAATATGTGGATAGTGAAGGAAGAATTTATTGAGGATCACGGGTAGTCATCTTGTGCCACTTCTCTCCTGTGCAGGACGCTGTGGGCCAGATGAACCAGTATGTGAGTCTGCCGGCCCAGAGACTCGCCCATCTGGCCAGGAAGTACATACACCACTGCCGCATGAAGGCCATAGAAGGTGAGATCATGGCTAATGGTCAAAATAATAATAATAAGAAGAAGAAGAATGATGATGATGATAATAATAATAATGCAGGAGGCACTTAGAAATCATATTTGACAATAATTGCTTGTGATAAACTTTACAATATGAAACCTGTAATAAATATACTTTGGAAACTAAATTGGACAACCATGTGTGTGTGAGTGTGAGTGTGTGTGTGTGTGTGTGTGTGTGTGTGTGTGAGTGTGAGTGTGAGAGAGAGAGAGAGTGATTTTATGACACTTTTAGCAATTTTCCACCAATATCATGGCAAGGGACACAAGAAATGGGCTTCATTTATTTTTTTCCCATATCGCGAATCAAACCCAGGTCTTCGGCGTCACAAGTCAACGCTTTAACCACAAGGCCACCACACTGCCCCGGACAACCATATGGACTTTGATAACCATATATGAGTCACTTTAAAGGGCACAGAAAATGGTTGGTTGGTTGATTTGTTGTTTAACGCCACACTCAGCAATATTCCAGCTATATGACGGCGGTCTGTAAATAATCGAGTCTGGACCAGACAATCCAGTGATTAATATCATGAGCATCAATCCACGCAATTGGGATCGATGACATGCATCAACCAAGTCAGCGAGCCTGACCACCCGATCCCGTTAGTCGCCTTTTACGACAAGCATAGTCGCCTTTTATGGCAAGCATGCACGGAAAGTGGCAGATTTTGTAAATTACAACTTATATTGCAAATGTAGTTGTTAGTGGCATAACACTCAGTCTAAAAGGGCACATAGGAACACTCTAGGTATCCTGGTAATATCGCATTCAAGCCGAAGAAGGTGAGTGTAGCGATGTTAATGTTTCCTACTCAGCTCCCTGGGGAGTATACTGCCTCGTTGCTATGTGCAGATGTTTAGACTGTCAAGTGCCAGATGACACTTGAGACACACAGGTTCCTGACGACGACCTGCAAACTTTTATTTTAGAGATTATCTCTGAAATCCAAACGTGATCTGATTATGGGTTCTCTGGTAAATAGTACCCACAAGGGGAGAATGATCATATGAAATATTATATTTAAGGCTAAAAAAATAGTCATGGTTCTCAGGCACCGCCTGCATCATCATAAAGTCTGCCGCACGTTTCGTTTATATTTCCATTTTTATAATTTTTACTTCCCTTTACACGCGGACTACTTTACTGTGCATCTCGTGTTATGGTCATGGCAGCAATTGGAGTTAGTATGCTTGTTCATGTAGGGAGGCCCTTACCCAGGTTGATGGTACACAACTATATATTTGGTTACATACCAGTTTGAACAAGCAGCAAAAAAAAAAACACCACCCGGCCGCACTAAAGTCATTGCCTGAGAACCAATTCGTTTATATTTTAAGCCTAAATTTCCAATATTTACTCAAATGAAAATTTTGGGCACCAATTATTTGCAACCAGTTGATATTCTTGAGGGCTGGAAACAGAAGATACTGAATCAAATGATTATTCGCTTAACAGGCTGGATGTCCTGAATGTTTTGTGAAAATAATAGTTGTGAGGTTAATCCTTTCCGAGGACTGAGTGCAGTATGGCTTGATGTAGTCATCAACATTGTCGTTGTTGTCATCAATGATTTTGTCTATTTCAGAAAATGTAAAGAAAAGCGAGAGTCTGAATGAAAATGTTTTCGAAGTGCTGGACAAGATGGAGGCTCTACAAAATGAGGTAAACCCGTGAAGTTCTAGGTTAGAATTGGTCTTCAGCAACCCATGCTTGCAATAAAAAGGCGACTATGCTTGTCGTAAGAGGCGACTAACGGGATCGGGTGGTCAGCTCATTGATGCATGTCATCGTATCGACGCTCTTAGTGTCAATCACTTGATTGTCTTGTCCAGACTCGATTATGTACAGACCACCATCATATAGCTGAGTGTGCTGTTAAACAACAAACAAAACCAACAAACAGTTATCAGATAACTATTGGCAGAAGTGTTTGCCATTACAGATTTTTGTGTTTGAAGTGACAATGAGATGCTTGTGTTTCAGCGAGCGCGGAAGTGGGCGGAGCATATGGATGACATGGGTGCGGAGAGACTGAAGCTGGCCAGTATTTTGATGGAGACGCTGGACTCCATCGAACAGGAGTCCGGACTCTTCCTCATCAAGCCCATGTACTCTTTCAGGGGCAGGTAAATAGAAAACAATTAAATTATCTGCTGAAACAGTGAGTCAGTGAGTGAGTATTGTTTTCGCCGCTTTTAGCAATATTCCAGAATATCACTGCAGGGGAACCAGAAATGGGCTTCACACATTGTACCTATGTTGGGAATCGAACCCGGGTCATTGGCGTAATAAGCAAACGCTATAACCACTAGGCTACCCCACCACTCCCTTCTGAATTAAAGATTCCCGGGTAGAATAGGTCTTCAGCAACCCATGCTTGCCGTAAAAGGCGACTTTGCTTGTTGTAAAAGGCGACTAAGGGGATCGGGTGGTCAGGCTCGCTGACTTGATTGAAACATGTCATCTATCCCAATTGCGTGGATCGATGCTCATGATGTCAATCACTGGATTGTCTGGTCCAGACTCGATTATTTACAGACCGCCGTCATAAAGCTGGAATATTGCTGAGTGCGGCGTTAAACAACAAACAAACAAACCCTTCTGAAACAGATTCCATTCATAGGTAAAATAGCAGTGAAAACTATATGAATTGATCACTGACATCAGATGTTCACGAAAAGGGTAAACATGTCATGCCCTAGTGGTAGCAAATGACACTCACATAATTTGCATACAAAAGTGTTTTTTGTACTCCCAATCTCATTAAAATCAGACCTTAGTTCTCGCTATGGCTAAACAAAGATCTGAAGACATCCCATTAGGGTTCACGTCAGAACGACTTTCATCCGACCAATCAGAGCGTCGCTTACCAGATTATGAAAGTGACAGTCGGAATGTGATTTCTAATCATGCAACCTCGAAAATTTTAACACGGGATATTCCGAAAAATAGTCATGGGTTTAACGACTGAATCCATACAATCTAGACCATTTATTAGCCATTCCTGAATGTTCTTTTGTTCAGGTTTAAAATTTGTAATCGAGAATTTGTCAAAATATGTTTCGAAGCGTAGTCGCCAATTTGAAATTAGTGCCGTAAAGCACGAGAAAGCTGCCTTCTGATTGGTCATTCCATTGGTCGGTCAAAGTTCGCGCAAGGTCGGTCTGACGTGACCCGTAATGGGATGTCCTCAGATCTTTGTTTAGCAGTAGTGAGAACTAAGATCTGATTTTAATGAGATTGTTGTACCCCTATTCGCACCACGTGACAAAACATTACATTTCAATGTCAACCCCGATATCGATCTGACCCCTTTGGCCTCGGTCCAGTCAAAGCACCTCAGGGGCTGGGTCCCCGGGCCCTTGTTTTCACAAATTGACCTCATCAATAGTAATTATTTGTATATTATTGCCTGATGCCACACAGCAGAACTCCACAGACAGTGATTTGGACCCCTAACTTGAACTTTTTTTTGTCTTCTTTGTGTTTGAATGCACATTAGCTGTTTGTAGTCCTTGATAAGTTTGTAGTCAATTTCAAACTGACATCTGTATGACCCACTGACCTTAAACATTGATAGAATGCCTTGAACTTGGCACTTCCATTGCTAAATCAAGATATTGCAATCATGATTTTCTCTAATTATGAACAAGGACAACATGTAGCAGAGGATAAGTCCATACCTTGATCGGGAAACATTAATATTTTAATACGGTATAGACAACAAAAATGGTAAGAATGCACAAATATATTTTATATTATATATTTTAGTTTTTATGTGATCATTGCCTTGAAAGGTCTTAAAATTGGTGTCTCAGATTATTTTGGGACACGTCATGGTGGCCCATATGTGTTACGGTGCTTGCAATTCACCGTGCAGAGTTGCTTCCCTTAGTAGCACCAGGATAGGCTGTCAGATCCCAGTAGAATCATGGTAATGATGTAGCTGTTGAATCCTGTTCATTTTCCCTACAGAGAGATGAAGCAGAAGTATGTGGGGAAGTTGTCCCGCCCGGGCCGGCCTCTTCGGGCCTCCCCCATCCGTGAGACGGCCAGCTCCATGGCCCCCGCGCCCACCCCCTCCTCCCACATCCGACCCCTGGATGGCAGTCGGGCATACCACAAGGTGAGCTAACTTTTCTTCATTGATCTTATGCTCCTTGCTCGATAACATGGTGCTGTGCACATGTGTTGGGGCATATGGAAATGTTGGAATTGCAGTTACCATATTCGAAGTAATAAGCCCCCCGCTCTAATAAGCGCCCACGGCAATATTTGCTATTATATTGGCTAGTGAACAATCCCAATTAGCACCCCTCCCGATTGATCAATGTACACAAGACATTTATTCGCATATAATACGCACTCATGTGTTATATGCACCCTTAATTATTGGCAGTTAAATTCTGGAAAAATATATCTGTCGTACATAAACATTTCAGGCTGTCAGTATAAACCACGAAATTTATCTTTCAACTCTGTTTTTTCCACCAAAATAATATTCTAATAAGAGCCCCCTATTTCTAATTTTGAGAGCGCCCTGAGTGCTTATAATGTTGAATACAGTATGTCGTAGAGTTCATATCATATGTATCTTGATAGTCATGTTGTTTTGCGATACACACCTCCAAAGTAAAGTATCTCCATGGAAAAGATATGATATGATACATATCTCCACAGTAAAGTTGTGATATTATACTTATCTCGATAGTAAAGTTGTGATGTGATACATGTCTGCATGGTTAAGTTGTGATATGATACATATCTCCATCAAACAATTGGGATACGATACATATCGCCGGAGTAGAAATTGTGATATGATACATATCTCCATAGTAAAGTTGATATGATACATATCGTCAGAGTAAAATCGGGATATGATACATATCTTTATAGTAAAGTTGTGATATGATACATATCTCCATAGTACAGTTGATATGATACATATCTCCATAATACAATGATATGATACGTATCGCCAGAGTAAAATTGTGATATGATACATATCTTCATAGTAAAACTGTGATATGATACATATCTTCATAGTAAAAATGTGATATGATACGTATCTCCATAGTCAAGTTGTGATATGGTACATATCTTCATGATAAACCAACACTGAAGCAGTGTAAGATATAAAGGAGGATGCTTGGATCTCTGATGTGTTTAGCATCGCCTTCGTCCCCGGTTACTAGTCTTTAACATGAGGACTATGCCATAAACCCTGGATCTTCATCCTCAATGTTGAACACTGCTGGAGGAGTAACACATGTAGCTACTGTCAGGATATTTACAAGTTTACCATCACTTCCAGATCAGCTCAGCATCGACCACCTCACACCCAGAGCCTCTGCGCCCCCTGGAGGGAGACCCTGGAGGAGTAGCGGGCGCGTCCATGTCTTGGGTGGGACAAGCTCCTCGGCAAACGTGGAGTGTGAGTAGATATCTACAACAGGGCAGACAGCGCTTAGAGCAGTCCATTATTGATTTGTTATTTGTTTCTCAAATTGTATTCCTGTCTTGGGAACCCCGGACCTTCCGCTCTCCGCGTGGGTGCTCTACCACTAGGCCACGGAAGGTGGTCCCCTTTTGTCTGATAATTGACTGGAAGTTGCTGTTTCAGTTCTCGTCGTCACATGCTAAACATGTGCCAGCCGACCCCCTCAGTCTGTACAACACCCCCAGGATACTAGAGCTGGATATAAACAGGATGCTGATTGGTCAGAACAACATCAGGTAATAGTAACAATGCTTTTGATTGGTCAATTCAGTCTTTTGTCTGTTTTCTTGAAATATTTATGACTTTAGGAAAGATACCTTTTGTCTTCATGTTGTGGGATTAATTTTGGTCAATATGCAAAGATTTGGAAGCTGAAGTACAAAAAATAATAGCAAAAATATAAAGCAAAAAAGACAAAAATATGTTCTAGATAGGGATATGTGCATCTTCCCAATGCAAGGGCGTTAACTAACTATAAAAGTCCAGTTTCCACCCTAGCCGAACTAGGCTGGAATTTCCAGGCTCTATCGTAGCGCCACCAGTGGCTATTATGAGTTATGTTCCTTCTATTTCCCTCCTGTTGACCAATCAGATTCAATCGCATATCACTTGCATTTGCTTCAAACAAAATGGCATCACCCAGTCAAACGATCTGATTACTAATCAAGATTGGTATTGTAATAAAAGGCGCCTTTCCCCACGAAGTGCATCAGATCATTTGAGCACCTTGATTAAAAACATGAAAACATTTGCAAAATATCTGTCAACGCCTAGTTGACGGTACACATGCTTTGTAAATCCTGCAGTCGACTGAAATCTGCACGTTGAAATCCATGTTATTTAAGAACCGGATGTCTAGTTCGTTCGATTTTGATTGGACCATGCATGGACTTGTTAGTTCAGCCAAAATGTAACACCGGAACTGCAGCCTCATTCTGCAAGGGTGGAAACGCCCTTGTCTCTGGAAGATGAGATATGTGGTGCAAAGTTATCACCTTTAACAAATTATTGGTCTGCTCTTTTCACACCGGTCTGAAGCTATGGAATATTTTGGAAAGTTATAATCAGAACATGTTCTTCAATTGTCCTTCAGTTCCCGCCTTCCACAGCCAATGACAGAGGACAGATTGGTCAACGCTTCACAGAACAACTTGCGATCATATGTGACAGTCAACCGTCCTGTTGCCACGCCAACCACCACCACAAACTCCAGTAGACCGAGATCAGCTTCAGGTCTGTTCAAGACAGCAATTGCTAAATAAGTCGGTACTGTGATCTACTTCAGCACACCGGGTGGGTAGCTGAGTGGTTAAAGTGTTCGCTTGTCACACCGAAGGCTCAGGTTTGATTCCACACATGGTTACAATGTTTGAAGCCCATTTCTGGTTTCCCCTTCGTGATATAATGCACTTTACTGCACTTTTGAATACACCCAAAAAGGTTCACTTTATAAACTAATTTTCGGCTCAGATTCAAAAAGGTTTTCAAAAGTAAATCCTACTGTGATAGAGTTAACCATTCTCAGATTTTATAAGTGTGTTTTTTCTTATCCTGAAATACACATGTTTGTGTGAGATCAGATTCATTTTCAAGCCTTAAAAAGGGGGGTCGGGTGGTTTTAAGCGTTGTTCGTGACCCGTGTTCGATTCTTGACATTGGTACAATGTGTGAAGCCCATTTCTGGTGTCCCCAACCGTGATATTGCTGGAATATTGCTAAAAGCGGCGTAAAACCATACTCACTCACTCACTCACTCAAGCCTTAAAAAACAATATGATTACCGTATTCGACGTAATAAGCGCCCCAATCTAATAAGCATCCACGGCGATATTTGCAAATATATTGACATGTGAACAATCCCAATCAGCACCCTTTCCGATTGATCAATGTACACAGGACTTATTTATTTGTGTATAAAACACACTCCTGTGTTATGTGCACCCTTAATTATGGGCAATTAAATTCTGAAAAAATATATCTGTCGTATGTAAACATTTCAGGCTGTCAGCATAAACCACGAAATTTAAGATCTTCCAACTCTGTTTTTTTTTCACCAAAATAATATTCTAATAAAAGCCCCCTATTTCTAATTTTGAGAGCGACCTGGGCTCTTATTACTAACGGTATGTTGAATCGGGCAACAAATGTGAGCAATTCCTTTTTGTCAGCAACTTTTGGGGCCGTGGTTGTTAATAGGTCCCTGCATTCTGATGCTTGTCGAAAGAGGTGACTGAACTGGTTTGAGTCATGGTTTGAGTCATGGTGACGGTGTGTCACAATAACCCATACAGTGTGCATCATTGCCCATATTATAATGTTGATTGCACTGTTGAATTCACTTACTTACTCACTCACTCACTCACTCCAAACTCCTACTCCTTCAATTGAGGTCGGGTGAGGGTGTCACCAATTAGTACAAGTCTTCTTCCTCCCATCCACTCACTCACTCACTCACTCACTCAACCACTCAACCACTCAACCACTCAACCACTCAACCACTAACTCAAAGTCTCATTCAAAGACTTGCCCACCTGCTGACTGTGTCAGACATCAGACAGACCCCCAGCCTGTGGGACCACCCAGCAGTCCAGGACTCACTCACTCACTCACTCATTCACTCAAACACTCACTCAACCACTCACTCAACCACTCACTCAACCACTCACTCAACCACTCAACCACTCACTCAACCACTCACTCAACCATTCACTCAACCACTCACTCAATCACTCACCACTCAACCACTAACTCAAAGTCTCATTCAAAGACTTGCCCACCTGCTGACTGTGTCAGACATCAGACAGACCGCCAGCCTGTGGGACCACCCAGGACTCACTCACTCACTCACTCACTCATTCACTCAAACACTCACTCAACCACTCACTCAACCACTCAACCACTCACTCAACCACTCACTCAACCACTCAACCACTCACTCAACCACTCACTCAACCACTCAACCATTCACTCAACCACTCACTCAATCACTCACCACTCAACCACTAACTCAAAGTCTCATTCAAAGACTTGCCCACCTGCTGACTGTGTCAGACATCAGACAGACCCCCAGCCTGTGGGACCACCCAGCAGTCCAGGACTCACTCACTCACTCACTCATTCACTCAACCACTCACTCAACCACTCACTCAACCACTCACTCAACCACTCAACCACTCACTCAACCACTCACTCAACCATTCACTCAACCACTCACTCAATCACTCACCACTCAACCACTAACTCAAAGTCTCATTCAAAGACTTGCCCACCTGCTGACTGTGTCAGACATCAGACAGACCGCCAGCCTGTGGGACCACCCAGGACTCACTCACTCACTCACTCACTCATTCACTCAAACACTCACTCAACCACTCACTCAACCACTCAACCACTCACTCAACCACTCACTCAACCACTCAACCACTCACTCAACCACTCACTCAACCACTCAACCATTCACTCAACCACTCACTCAATCACTCACCACTCAACCACTAACTCAAAGTCTCATTCAAAGACTTGCCCACCTGCTGACTGTGTCAGACATCAGACAGACCCCCAGCCTGTGGGACCACCCAGCAGTCCAGGACTCACTCACTCACTCACTCATTCACTCAAACACTCACTCAACCACTCACTCAACCACTCAACCACTCACTCAACCACTCACTCAACCACTCAACCACTCACTCAACCACTCACTCAACCATTCACTCAACCACTCACTCAATCACTCACCACTCAACCACTAACTCAAAGTCTCATTCAAAGACTTGCCCACCTGCTGACTGTGTCAGACATCAGACAGACCCCCAGCCTGTGGGACCACCCAGGACTCACTCACTCACTCACTCACTCATTCACTCAAACACTCAATCAACCACTCACTCAACCACTCACTCACTCACTCAACCACTCACTCAACCACTCACTCACTCACTCAACCACTCACTCAACCACTCACTCACTCAACCCCTCACTCAACCACTCACTCACTCACTCTCTCACTCTGTTATCCAGGTACCCACCGAGACTCCGTGCCCCCAACCACTCACTCACTCTCTCACTCACTCTGTCACCCAGGTACCCACCGAGACTCCGTGCCCCCAACCACTCACTCACTCACTCTCTCACTCTGTCACCCAAGTACCCACCGAGACTCCGTGCCCCCAACCACTCACTCACTCACTCTCTCACTCTGTCATCCAGGTACCCACCGAGACTCCGTGCCCCCAACCACCCCACAGCATCCGTCCAGTGCTGGGATGAAGAAGGTGCGTCTGTCCGACACCGACATGGAGATACCACGGTCTCTGCGTCACCCCCGGAGCCCCCCATTACCCCCAATAGGAGGAACAGGTATGCTACTCATGTCACTCTCCCTATAGAAGACAGGGGGCGGTCGGGTAGCCTAGTGGTTAAAGCGTTCGCTCATCACGCCGAAGACCCGGGTTCGATTCCCGACATGGGTACAATGTGTGAAGCCCATTTCTGGTGTCCTCCGCCGTGATATTGCTGGAATATTGCTAAAAGCGGCGTAAAACCATACTCACTCACTCACTCACTCACTCCTCTGCCTCTGTCAATTTTCTAAGCGCCTAGAGCCCTCTTAACAGCAAATACAGTTCCATAAAACTAGTCTTCAGCAACCCATGCTTGCCGTAAAAGGTGACTATGCTTGTCGTAAGAGGCGACTAACAGGATTGGGTAGTCAGGCTTGCTGACTTGGTTGAAGCATGTCATATATCCCAATTGTGTGGATCGATGCTCATGATATTAATCACTGGATTGTCTGGTCCAGACTTGATTATTTACAGACCGCTGCCATATAGCTGGAATATTGCTGAGTGCGGAGTAAAACAACAAAGAAACAAACCAACCATAAAACTAGTTCTTGACAATGTCCACTTTGTTGATATATGGGCAGGGGCACGGGTGGGTTTGTCAGCACCATACCTGTGCTCGTGGGTTTCACCGAAGTTTTAAATGTCTAAGACCTGCATCACTTCGGGCTTTCCTCCCACATGAACATTAAGCTGACACGCCGTGATACAAATTGAATACTGTTAAAGGCGGCGTTAAACCCAACTCGCTGACTGACTGATATATGGGCAAAAGAGGTCAAAAGACATTTCATATATACAATTACCTGTACACAAGTTCTTATCTGTTTATTCAATTTTTCTCCGTCAGAACCTCCCCAGAGTCCCTCAGGGTCCTCTGTCCGTCAGACTCCACCAATCAGAGAAGCCGATACACCAGGTGATGATAAGACCCTCACGCGGGAGTCATCACACCTCACTTCCGCTACAATATCCGAGGATTGATGGATTCTTTCACTATCTATTCACCCAGTATTGTGTCTGCAAGCATTAAACTAAATGATGCCCAAATAAACAAGTTGCAAGTGAATTCCATGGCTTCATCTAACATTTCTGCCTGAAAGTTTCATTAAACAAATAAAAAATAGGCCCACCCACTAGTTGTCTACTGTTTCCTGATTGGCTGATAAAATCATAAGAGGTGGTTGGGTTGAATTAATTTTGAACTTTTTTCATTTTTCATTTTCCCTCAACTCATAGTTATCTTCCAAAGTGAAGTTTGAAAGACAGTAAGTTTTCAAATCTAGCCATTCTTTCCACTTCTGTTTACTTAAGATGTAATAATCGTCAAGGAGCCTGTATTAATGTTCTGTCTGTTTATCTACAGCTACCTATTCACAGGAACGATTATGAGATGGGATGTTCTGTTGATAGGTGATCAATTCCTGTGGCCCAGAAATAATGAATATTTGGCAAAATTAAAATAAGCTGCATTCTGCTAATATTAGTGGTTGAAACAAGGATTGCAACTTTGACGACAGAGAAACACCTCAGCTCACAATAACCAGCGACACAGAACTTTGGATTTACATATATTGGCTCAGTCCCTCAGAGCACATGCGGAATGTGAGAGTCAATTGATTAAACAGAACTAAATCAAAATTAAAACTTAAATTTAAATCCTACCTTTTTTTTATTTTCCCAAATGCAAATGTCATGTTGACAAAGCACCACCACTTAACAATGCATGTTAGGAAACGTGTGTTTGACATGAGATTGTCGTATTGCGCAAATATTGACATATAAACACTGGGCAGTTATGGAAATGATAACATGTTAATGATCGATATACAATCACTGCTTCTTAGCAATAGCCAACTGTTACAGTATTACATAACTGTATTCATTGCACTACTTGCAAAACCACCTACAATATGTGTGATTTATTATTTATTATGCAAGTTTGTTAAGTTTATGTTACGTAACAATTGTGTTTGAAAGTATATGTCACTTTAAAGATGTTATCGGACTGTGGCACTTGTCATTTCTTGTCATGATGAAAGACCACTTACATCATGATTGAGACAGGTGAAAATAAGGTTTTGAATTAGTTTTGTTAAAGGATTTGTTTTGTAGTATTCAACACATCTATGGCAAATTATGCCCTTGATACTAAAGTATGTAAGCCCCCAAACCACATTTGTTACTCGAATTATGCAAATGAAATGTGGAATATTTATGCAAATCATGTCTGTGTTTGTTGTGTGTTTGTTTGTGGTAGCATAGTTAAATGTAGATACTATACAATTGTGTGTACATTGTTATGTTTTATTGAAAACTGTTGAACACTAGTATGTTGTTATAAAAGCCATTGTGATATTTTCACCAAAACTAAATTAATCTGTTAACATATAGACTAGCAAGAGAATCCTTTGAGGAATCAGATTTTTGTTTAATTTTTCATTTGGGAAATCGGTTGTACCTTGGCCTAATATGAATAAAACTACAACACATAAGTCGATTCATCGACAAAAGACCATTTACAAAGGGTTCACTCTCAAAATACCAAGGGAAGTTACTCCGGATCTGTTGACTTTAAAATAACAAGGCAAGTAACTCTGGATCTTTACCTCTATAATACCAAGGGAAGTAATTCTGGATCTCTATCTCTGAAATGCCAAGGGAAGTAACTCTGGATCTTTTCAATACAAAGGGAAATAACTCTGGATCTTTACCTCTAAGATACTAAGGGGAGTAACTCAGGATGTGTTCTCTGTAAAGTTCAAAGGGAAGCAACTAGGACCTGTGCGTTTGTTGGCAGATCCTGCTGACTTGCTATATGTCATGTTGACATTTGTGTCTGGCATTAAGATACTGACCATTTTGTACAATATCTCTTCCGTCCAAGTCATGTTAAAATGAGGTGTATTTCTTAAGAGGAATGTATTACAAATGTTGATCTAAAACTATAATCAAATGAATATTTAATATATATTATGTCATCTCTGAAGTAAAGATGTTTTGAAAAGATGTGCCTTCAGTTTGTTTCTTTGGTGATATCAATGACATATACACTGAAGCTAAGATTCTTATTCCAGAAACCTGTGATTGTGAGTGTGAATCCCAATTGGCTCAGATTTTGTTTCAAGGTTTGTCAACACTACACCCTTGGGTATCACCAAAGTGGTAGACGACATTAGCCACTTTCATGATCTGGTAAGCGACGCTCTGATTGGTCGGATGAAAGGTCGTTCTGACGTGACCCCTAATGGGATGTCCTCAGATCTTTCTTTGGCGGTAGCGAGAACTAAGATCTGATTTTAATGAGATTGCCTGAAAACAAAATAATAATAATATGGTAATCCCGTTCTCCACTCACAAATTGTACTCAGCTATATGACCGCCTCCGTTGTCTAGTGGTAGAGCATCAGCCCGGAGGGCGGAAGGTCCGGGTTTAGATCCCCGGGCCGCGTCATACCAAAAGACGTTAAAAGATGGTAGTTGTTGTAACCCTGTCTGGCGCTCGGCATTAAGGGTCTAAAACAAGGACTGGTCGGTCCGGAGTCAGTATACTGTGTCTGAGTGGGGTATTCATGTTGAACTGCGACATGGTGTCTCAGTGAGCCAGCGCTATAAATCGGCATCAGTCCGGACAAGTACGAGCAGACACACCAGACAAGATAACAGTACTGTAACTCACCCCACTTACCAATTGTCCTTCTCGGCTTGGACATATAGTATGACCAGAAATTATTGAGAATTTTAGGGATATCTTAAGTGCATATATATCTAGTATAAAAAAAAAATTGCTGGAATATTGCTAAAAGCGGCGTAAAACCATACTCAGTCAGTCAGTCTAGTATAAAAAAAACACTGACCAGCTATCAAGTGTTTGGTTTCATTCAAAGGAGACAACTCAGTTAATCCTATTTCATTAGTTTGTCAAGAATTATCCCCCTTTGTTTACTTGCTAGCAGACGTCATTTTCAGTGATCCTCAGTATGGATGATTTAGAGAAGAGGAAGTTGGTTTTAGAGTATTATAACAAGGACATCAGATCAGCTAAAGTGATTTCAAGTAGAACAGGCATCCCTTTGTCCACTGTTTATCGTGTTTTGAAAAATATTGAAAGTGGAGATGGCATTGAGCACAAGAGAGGGGCGGGTAGGCCCAGAAAATTGACAGTCGGTGACAGGAGGCGGCTTGGTATTCTTATTTCTAAAAACAAACGAAGGAGTTAGGAAAACTTAAGACTGGATATGATTGATAGAGGAACTGTGGCTGTCAATTAGACAATTAGAACTGAGCTGCATGCAATAGGTTTGGAGAAAAGTCGAGGAATTCCATCACCGATCATGAAACCCGAACAAATGGAGCGAAGGTTGAACTGGTGCTTAGAGCATAGAAATTTTAACTGGGACAATGTGGTTTTCTCAGATGAAAGTTCTGTGTGGCTGTTTCCTAATACACTAAAATTCTGGACCAAACAAACTGAAAAACCTTTGTATCAGCGCCCAAAGTACAGTCCAAAATGTCACGTGTGGGGTGGCATATCTGTGTTAGGGGCAACGCCCCTGTGTGTATTTGAAGAGAATATGAACAGTGAGCGGTACACAGATATTCTCGAGGGACATTTACTTCCATCTGCTCAAGTATTCTATGGAAATTCATGGATTTTCCAGCAAGACAACGACCCAAAACATCGTTCAAAGCATTCTCAGGCCTGGTTTCGGACACAAAATATGACATTATTAGATTGGCCAAGCTACAGCCTTAACTAAATCCAATAGAAAAAGTTTGGGGGCTAATGAAGGAAAGTGTCAATAAAAAAAATCTGACAAATATTGCTGAAATGAAAGAAGAGGTGGTCCGATATTGGGACAGCATGAACCACGACTTTCTAACTTCTTTGATTAGTAGAATGCCCCGCCGCCTTGAAGCCTGCATTGCTGCCCATGGTGACTTGACAAAATACTAAGTGTTCACCTGTCTTTGAAGCTGGAGTTATGTTGTACTAATATTCACATTTAATACGTGAGTAATGAGTGAAACAAATAAAATAATTACAATCTTTAAATTCTCAATAATTCCTGGTCATACTGTACCTACCTGATTATTCATTGAATTCATGCTGAATTACTGAATGAACCTCTTGTCCTTCTCAGCTTGCATATTCTGTGTACATTGTTTATTTGTCTTAAGATGGCATATACATATATAAAAATATATGGCTTAAAATACAAATCATCAGACATGAAAAAAAATAAAATAATAATAATATGCACAACACAATATATACTAAAAGATACACACACGCACACACAAAAAGCATACACAGGCACATACCAAATGCACACACATGTGTGCGTTGTAAAATGCACGCGTGCGCTCACGTGGTAACGTACATATCGTTATACAAGCTCATGCACGCATTTACATACAAAACAACTTCCTGCGGACGTATGTTTTTACACACAGTTTGCCAAGGGTAGGAATGAGGCTGTCATCTTGAAGCAGACTTGGTAGAAACATATTTTTAAAACTGACCAAAAACAACATTCTGGAATGGCTTATAGATGGCGTAGATTGTATGGATATAATCATAAAAACCCGTAACTGTCGTTCGGAATACCCTCTGTTAAATATTTCGAGGTTGCATGACTAGAAAACACATTCCGACTGTCACTTTCAGGATCTGGTAAGCGACGCTCTGATTGGTTGGATGAAAGGTCGTGCTGACGTGACCCGCAGTGGGATGTCCTCAGATCTTTGTTTAGCGATAGCGAGAACTAAGATCTGATTTTAATGAAATTGTAAGAATCTTAAACATTTATTTGTAGCTTGGGGAAACGTTCTGCGCATATTTCGGCCATGTTAAATGTATGCATGGACTTCTTTTCTTTCTTTTTTGTTGTTGACTTTTTATATCTTTGTCTGAACTGAGATTACCGCCCAGGGTCGGTTCTGTCCGCAGATACCATACTGTTAGAGGTTTTTCGACATTGGTCTTTGAGTAAAAGGGGTTACTGATAGACAGTTAAAAATCACCAATTTAAAAAAAAACAAATTCATATATTCAAATGGCTTTAAAGTCATTACTTTTGTACTTTTGATTTCTTTAGTGATACTGTCGAACGGTGATTGCAAAAAGCTTTCCATATATCTATAACATATGGTATTGTTTCCAAAGGGGGTCATGTGGCCAGCCCCTAATGTATTTTGGTCGGAAATTACGTTTGAACCCGGTTTGGACGTGCAGAGGATATTTATTATATAATGGATCCTGCAAAAGAAATACTAATACCTACCGTATTTATTATATAATACTTTATTCACATAAGAGCCTGCTAAAGAATGAACAATTATTTCCAATATAAAAATGTGTCCACGAATTCGCGCCAGGTTTGTCAACGAATACACTGTAAAATTGTGTCTTTGCGTTGGGAGTGGGTACGAATTCACCGTGCAGAGTTGCGTCCCTTGGGTACGCCAGAAACCTATGATCGTGGGTTCGAATCCCGGTTCGCCCCAATTATGTTTCTAGGTTTGTCAGCACCATACCCGTGCTCGTGGGTTTCACCGAAGTTGTAAACGTCTTAGACCTGCATCACTTCGGGCTTTCCTCCCACATTAAGCTGACACGCCGTGATATAACTGTAATACTGTTAAAAGCGGCGTTAAACCCAACCCACTCACTAACTCATTCACTCTAATAGACGTCCGGTCGCCTAACGGAGGGCAATACGGCATATATAGACGTTTTCATCGTTATGCTATGTACATTTTCAATGGAAGCAAGCAGTAAATCACGCAGCGTGTGACCGTTTGTCGCAGTCAGCGTGATTTACTGGGCTCTTATCATCACGATGCAAACTTTATGGTGATTGCAGCTGTGTAGATTGTGTGGCTATTTCTGCTATTGGTGTGTACCTATTTGATAGTTTGATAGCTCTCGGCTGGTTTTCTTTGGGAGGCCTGGTATTCTATTTGTTTCAAGGCTTGATGTTCTTTTAAGCAAATGCACTGGTAACAAAACATTGTGGAAACCTTGCTATTGTTATCCCTCTCCTAAACCAAGTTCTCATGTACAATTTCTCCGTTTGTATACTCTCCAGGCATGTTCCGTGCAGAGGCTTTTTGCTATTCAGGAATTTGAATTTTTTCAACTTTTGCGTTGAGATCGGTGTTCCTCCGATGCGTAACTCGCACCATCACCAGCAACCCGTGAAGATCCGGGGTAGAATAGGTCTTCATCAGCCCATGCTTGTCTCCCCTGTGAAGATTCGGGGTAGAATAGGTCTTCAGCAACCCATGCTTGTCTCCCCCGTGAAGATCCGGGGTAGAATAGGTCTTCAGCAGCCCATGTTTGTCTCCCCAGTGAAGATCCGGGGTAGAATAGGTATTC